TGGGTTGGCTAATCGGATTGCATGAACATGCCATATGAGCTGATTCTCTGTACTTTTTGTATCTGCTGTTACTTTCAACCTCCAAGATCCTAGCTTCATCCCAGCTTACCCTGTGACCTTCTTCATATGCATGCTGAGCCAACCTGGATTTCTCTAGAAGACCCTGCTCGAGATTGTGCCTGTGTTCACGGATTCGAACAGCCAGTGGTCTGGCCCAACTGAGTAGGTTTATCCTTCCCTATCCACCTGAAGACGGAGACAGATCCAGTCTCCGAAACATCCTGGTCTTTTGTCTTTTACATACCAGACGATGGGTTAAGTCCAAAATAGGCCAAAAGAAGTACAGTATACACCATCGTCAGAATCCTTTCAAGTCTATCACAGTCATTATTGCTACTGGTGTTATAGATACTCCACCATGTTTTTATGCTCAAAGTTAAATACATCTGATAAAAGTGGGTAATTACTGAAACTCTCAATAACTTGACCCTTCTGGTGGAAAGCTGAATTTTTGTCTTACATGAGAAACACTGTTTTGTGCAGACAAGTTTGAATGCATCATATTGTGAAAGCATGTGGTTGACAAACACTTTAAATTTAGGAAGCTAGAAAAAGAAAACTCTTACAAACCCACAGAAACCAAATTTGAAAAGGATAAAATTATCTGAGTGACTTGCTACAACCTTTGGTTATCAATCAGAATTATACAAGGAGGAATGATGGTTCATAACCTAACAGTTTCAGGTCACAACACTACTGGCTTCCCAAATTAAAATGGAGAGTAATCAACCAAGTATCATAAGTCAGAAGTAGAGTATGTTTAATGGGATAAATTTAATTAACCTGCCATAAGAAACACAGTTTTGGTCAGACCTTGTAGTACTGGATAATGAAGGAGACATCAATACAATTTATTATCATTTATGTTTGAAGTATGCAAATGTTAAACTACGGCTGTCTTTAGTTAGTGGCATATTTTTTTCCCACCCTTTTCTTTCTAAAGTTTCAACATAAGGTACTGTAAAATAAAGCAACATTTTGCCATCAGATTTAACTGTTCCCAGTTCCATTATTTATTGGTAAGTGGTATTTATCAGATTTTGGATATCTCAATGGATTGCCCAATTCTCTGTTATGTGAAATAATTATCATTCCAGTAAATCTGACCAACCAAGGTTTAATGTCTGCTGTACATGCAGCTATATATTGCAAATTTAAAATACTCAAGTCAGCAGTTTCAGCTTCTTACTGTATAATATAATGAGAGTCATTTCCATTATAAATAAGAAATTGGTACATTGAACAAAGCATCCATGAGAATGAAAAAGTATTATTTCGTAAATAACAAGAATAAAGAAACTCTTCAGCTAACTAAGCCACCAAATTAGCTTTGTGCTATAATTTATGTACTTTCTTTGCAGTTAACAGCTAGACATCTTTTCTTTTTAACCTTGAAATATGATATATGTGTAGATATCTTCTATCATAAGTTATTTCAGGAAAATATATGTAGGGGTAAAATGATGCACATTTAAAGTTATTCCATTTGTCCGACACTGGACCAATATTTCCTTTTCACTTTGTCCTACAATTAGAGATAGTAGACATCAGATTTATATGTGCTATGAGGTTAAACATCTACATTAAGCCATGCAAATATCAAATTAAGCAGTCAAATTACTGGTAGCACTTTTGTTGCTAAGCTACATAAAATAAAAGCTGCAGTTATTTCTTATCATCAGTAAAGGAGAACACTGTAATTTATAATGCTCTTTAAGTCTGTCTTTTTTATAATACAAGTGTAAAACTTCACACAATTTCTACAAGAAAGCACCATATACAGTGTGTGTGTAAATATATATATCTTGCAGAGAAACACAAATGCAAGTGTTCCTTGCTATATCATTTGGAAAAAATTATCACCTTAATATTTTGAGTTACAGAAGTATTTCTAACCTAATAAACATGAAAGATAGAGGAACATGGGGGCAACTGCTTGTAAAGTACATTGCAACCTTCGTATAACAATAATTTATAACATTCATTAAATACTCTATATACTAAGCACTTGTAATAACCGAAAATAGTTGAAATACACAACCTTAAATCCCAACTTATTACTTACATCATTATATGACACTAAAATTTAAAAAAATAATGCAGGCACCACAGTATTTATTATTTTTGGTGTATCTGGAATAAGAACTTATGAAAATGTCATTATAGCTTCACCTCAACCAACTGTGCTCCCGTGCCCCTTGATATTGGGTAGTTTTACTAAAATATGAGAACACATATTAATTTCTGTTTCAAACTGAGAATGATAAAGGACACTACCAAAGCAAGTTTCTGTGTGCATCTCATGCAAAAATCACACAAACTCACTATGTGTGTATATATATATATATATATAAGAATAAAAATTGTTTTAAAAAAAGTTGCATATAGAAATGAAACTTGCATTTAATATCCAATACAATTTTCCTGTTAGTTGTGATGTTCTCAAGACAAAAAAACAAAAAAACAAAATGGATTTTATACTGTCTACAGGCAGTAGCCATATTATCTGAACAGACAATTAGATGATTTTCTTATGCTTACATAATCAGTTGTACTTTCAACCGTTGGCTGACATTTTTCAATTGCAAATTAAAATTACAATGCTTAAAACTATTTCCTTGGGGTGATAAAAATTTCTACTCAGACTTAACTGTTCTCAGATTCTGGAACAAGTCCTTTCTTTCCCAAATAAGGGAAAGGCGCATGGTGTAATTTAATCATATTTTTATAGACTGCTACCTATGAACAGTTTTAGAAGTAAACCTGCAATTACAGTTTGTATAAAAAGTCTGAGAGAAAAGCTGTGGTTAGTTAGGAAGTACTTGTTCTGACATAAATGCCAGAATAACCTCCTTGGTACATACTAGATTTTTACATACACATAACATTAACAAACTGATGGTGCCAATTCTTTTTCTTGTTACAATGAAGTTATTGCTATAAGCCATATTCGTTGTATCACAATTATATCACATTAATAATTAATAATAGAAAATATACACATCAGTATATTTATAAACTGCAATGAAAGTGAGGGGAGGCACCAAGACCTATAAATAAATAAGACATAAACATGTTCTTTATTCTTCTTTGGCATTTTGACAGGCCATCAGTATTATATACAATATTTATGCATTCGTTTCTACAAACATCAAGAACAGAAACGACATGTTCATTTATACGTAAATCTGATATTATCTACTGCCAGTTACAGGACAACTCACTGAAGATTCTGTAACTTCAATAAATAAATGTTTGGTGTTTACAACAAAAGAATATTCCTTCTGTGCAATATATTATATTTCCATGGGATCCTAAAATACACAGTACTGTATATTGCTTTCGTTCCCTTGTACATATCACTGCACCAGTCAATGAACCAAAGGCCATGATACTACGAACTCTGTAATCCCTATGAAGTTTTCTTCCAAATCTCATGTTCCCCTATCATATCTGTTTGAATATATCATAGTAAAACCACATGGCCTTCTTCAGACTTCTGCCTCCATGATCATACCTCTTTTTGGGCCATCTTCCAAATAATGACTTTCAATGGTTTTTCAAGACTGAAAGAATCTTTCTTTTTTTACATGTCATATATGTTTTCAGTTACCAGAAACCAATGTGAGCAACAGAACAATAATGTTGTTTCCATATTCTTCCATGGAAATTTTGATATGTAACACTGTAGATAGGACACACATCGCAAGATAACTGATATAATTGTATTGTACTGTATTGTATTTATTAGTCCACCACAGATCCATAAGAAATTACAATTTCAGCGGATGTAGTTACCGTCAATAAATATATACAGTCAGCCTTGCAAAATTGTACTTGTCCAACAAATACATGACAGAAAAATATATGAGGTCAGCTGTGCAATAGGGCACACTGTCTAACAAAAATTTCGCAACTATGCAAAGTAACATGCTACAATTAATGCAGGGAAAAGTCAAACATAAAAGGCAAAAGATCATATATACATAATATTTCATACAAACCAAAAAGATTACAAAATAGTTAAAAATTAATATCATAAAACTCCTCCAAATTATAAAAACAATGAGAAACCAGATATTTTTTTAAGGTTCTCTTATAATTTTTAGGTGACCCAATCAACTCTTTAAGATAAGAAGGTAATTTATTGAAAATTTTAATAGTGGTAAAATATATTCCCTTTTGATATATAGTTAATCTCGAAAGAGGAAAATGAAGATTTTTCACCTTGTCTAGTTTTCACATTATGGCTATCATAATTTGTAATAAAAAGTTTTTTATTCTTTACAACAAATAATAAAATAGAAAAATATACTGCGATTTCAGTGGAAATATTTTCAATTTTTTAAAAAGAGCCCTACATGAAGTCCTATTTCCATCACCTGTCATTATACGTACAACTCTTTTTTGCAGCTTAAAGAGTTTATCACTGCTTGACGATAAACCCCAAAATAAAATACCATAAGCTAAAACATAATGAAATAAAGAATAATAGATCATTGTTAATGAAGTAGAAGACATATAGGGTTTAAGTGCTCTAATCATATAATACACTCTGGTCAATCCCTTCATAAGCTTATCTGTGTGCAAATTTCAAGTCAATGTATCACCTATTATTAAACCTAGAAATTTAATATGGGAAACTTCAGTTATAACATTATTATTACAGATCAATATAGCATCAGTTGATACAGTGTTTTTTCTTTTAAATTGCATATAATAGGTTTTTTAAAAATTAATAGATAACAAATTTGATTTAAACCACTTGTGCACTATTTGAAAATTTATATTTAATTTAGCGTTTATATTATCTGTGTCTCTGTCTGTAATTATTAGACTAGTATCATCTGCAAATAAAAGTACTTTAAGAAAGCAGTCTTCTGGGATTTGGCACCGTGTATATGTGGTGTTAACCGATGTTCCTCCGAAATGTCAGTTAACACCACATATACACGGTGCCAAATCCCAGAAGACTGCTTTCTTCATAGTCACCGCCGTGAAAGCCTCAATTTTTACAAAAGTACTTTAGTCTCTCTGGGAAAACACCAAATCTTATAATTTTATTACATATATGATTATGGGGCAAACTTATAAAGGCTGTACTCATTTTTAAGACCCTCAAAGATATCGGGTCATAGCCACAGGAATCTTTAGTTTTAAAAGAGTACATGATTTTTTCAATTTCTTCAGTAGTGACTGGTTTATTACAAATTTTTGGAAATTTAAATTTTATTGCCTGTTCCATAAATGACAAGTAGTTCCTTTCAGGTAAACTACCAAGGCTATTTGTTACTGAGTTTGCCAAAGTATCCGCTAATGATAGGATATAGTGATCTAATCCATACAAAGTCAGAAAATCTGTATGAGATACATGGCTGGAAATAACAAGACAGTTCAGTCTCTTAAGTTGAGGAAATAAAAATACATTTGTGGATCATGATGAACTAATATTCATACTTGATATTAAAATCATTTAGTGGAAATACTGTTTTCTGTTAAGATTACCATCCTCTGAGATGTGACACTGTGTAGTGTGGTAGGGATTTACCAACCAGACTATATGGGGTCACAGTGCAAAGTCAGTAATCTTCATAGGTACCATCACGAGAACCTCACATCTCACTGTTCTCTGTTAATTCTTGTGGCATAATATTTGGAAAAAGTCTCACAAATGATTTCAGTGAAAAATAATCAAGAAAATGACATTCTAATACAGTAATTTTGATATATTCAATATTTAAAAAGTATTCCACATATCATCATAAATATATAAGAAGACCATTTACTAAATTTTGATCTGTTTGTCTCTGTGAAGCCATTCAGTTTATATAAACTCATACCCTATTGTCCCAACTTGTGTGGCACTTCTATTCTATTAAGTAATTAAAGCATTTTTTAAAGCCAAACTCTCTAAGCTAACAAAATGTGAGATTTTCATATGGAACCCTGATTAACTACATGTCCTTACAATTAAATATTTAATCAGGGTACCACATATTATGCCAGAAGATATTCACTTTGGTTATCAGAACAGTGGGGCCATTGATATGCACTATCACTGACACAGGAAATATTTCATAAATCAGCAAGTGGTTTCTGATGTAGGCATGAGGCTTAGTGCATCAGCCCCTGAACCTGACACCTCTTCAAGCCCAGACTCTGTGCAAATGATCTGCAACTGCTGTGAATCAGCATCTGTGCAAAAGATGGCTGGTGGACCATGTGTACATGGGGTGGGAAAATCCTTCACTTCAATGGCACTGCTCCGGTGCAGGGACCGACTGCGGAACTCAGGTGTTTCATTTGTTACATTGAGGAAAAAGGCACTACATTCTGCAGCATCCTCTTCATGCTGACCCATGTGTTGATGCATCAATGTCTCCATCAGCTGATAATCGTTTTCCTCAGCATCTCGCAAATGCTCCTTTTCCAGGAAAAGTGCCATCTCAGGGTTAGACATCTCTGATGTGTGTCGAGTTCGGCGAGGCAGGTTCTCACCAGGTCGCGGTGGTGACAGTAATCTGGGGGTATGTGGGGGACTGAGAAGACCACAAACTGTTTCTAGCTCATCTGTGATGCTTGTATATTCCGAATGCATGGCTAACAGCATTGCACGTGGATTTGTTCTGATACTGGGGGGTATCACAGTTATTCGAGGCTCTGCCCATGTCACACTGCGTTCCACCACAGCCACACGCGGAATCTCATTCTCATCCTGCAAATTGGGTCCAGTTGCATTCTCTGGTTCAGAATGTGTCTTACTGATCTGTCGCCGTGTTAGAGCAGGAGGGCGCTGCATTACACTGCCTTTCTCAGAATCCTCACCAATTTCAAGGCTGTGTTTTCTGTTACTGCTCGCACTGGATTCTCTCCTCTCCGATCGGTAATCTGAAGAGTTCCCTCTGAAAAGAATGCGTGATTGTGTATTATCTTCATTGTTTCCAATATCTGCAGTGCCTTCTAAATTGCTTCCTGAATGACTTTCAACTGGATCTGAGAGAGAATTTCGCGACATACTCATCTGCTTAGTAAGCTGATGTGGTATCCTCTTCCTTATGGTATGTGACAGGTCTGAAATTTCACCGTCTTCTTCTTTTTCTTCTTCTCCCTCCTGTTCTGCTTTCTCAAACATGGGGATGAATTTATCTGTGGTCTGCACATCATCATCTAGCCGCACATGGAAACTTTCACCAAGCAAAAATGAATCAGGTCTCACTTCTGTCAGGGAGCGTGTAGGCCTTCTTCGGTCCCGGCTGAGCATGGGCAGAAGGTGAACCTTTTCTGCATGATCAGATGTTTCTGACAAAGCCTTTTGATCATCAGACCTGTCACTAGACAGTCTTATTCTCTCGGTACCCAATCTGACATCTGGTAAGTCTGACATGGGCAAGGGATCCTGCACATGAGTTGCCATAAACCGATGGATAACTGCCAAGTGAGACAAAGTTTGATCGGTGAGGTCCTCTAGTTTTCTCATGCGGAACTCAACTCCTTGAAGAGCTGAATTAAGTTTGTTTTCTTTCTGATTAATATCTTCTATTTTCTGATACATGTTGTCTACCCTGTCAGCTGTGTTCCTGATACACTCATCATTTGACACATGTAACTTTGTTTCTTGCTCACGGAAGTAACCTTCCACACACTCTTCTTCAAAATCATATAGCCGTTCCAAGTCTTCATGGTCCAAAAATAGTTTCAAGGCATTGTCATACAATTCTCGGACGCCACGCACTTTACGGTGGCAATATTTGAGCAACAGAAACACATGGCACAGCACAATTAGTGGTGGAGGAAGTACAGGTTTCTCTTCATACTCCATGACAACTGTGAAACGCTGGAACATCCAAACTTCATGTGAAATGGCATTCACCTCATTGAAGATGTTGTTAAAGACTGCAATAAGCAAATTGATGAGAAGAATGTTGGCCACAAGAAGGTACACTGCCATTTCAACAGCAGTAATCCAGCGACCCATCTGACACTTTTCCAAACCAGGGTCATCACCACATGGTGGGTCAATGCTGTCTGCAAATACTTCACCATAAAGCATGAAGTATGGCTTGAAGAAGATGTCACGAACAAGAGACCAACTTGGCTCTTTGTCTGGGTTGAGGATTGCCTGGCGACACACCCCAAAACTCATCAATACCACAAGGAGAAGAACAACGAAATAGATCATGTCCTTGACCATTTTGCCCATCATTGTGACGAGTGGGCCAAGGTACTTATTCACCCCCAGAATTTTCAGAATACGAAGATACCAGTAGACAATATCAACACAGAAAATAAGGCGACCAACTTGCATTGAGGACAAGCGCAAACGCAGGCATAAGCCTATGAGGAAGAATATTATGGCAGCTGCATCACAAGGATTCCACATATTCCAAGCCCATACTGAAAGCTTGTGGCTGAAACAACAGAAAGGATGATGAGAACATGCATAGGATATTAAAACGGAGAGCACAAAAGTAAGAACACACGAGTGTCATACCTGACAGCAACTGGCTCTGATGATACAATCTCTCTCACTTTCTCAAAGGCCAATGTGCATATATAAGCAATAGTGTATAGCTCCTGCCATGAAGGTTTCATGTCCATCTTCACCAGCACCACATATGTAAAAGTCACCAAGAAGACAATATATGCAATCTGAAATGCAATGATTTATTTTCACATCCAGTATTTTCATTATGAATTTTGACTACATGTCATCTGATATTTCATAAAAAATACTCTGTGGCCTGTAGTCTGCAAGCGAACTATACCAACTGAGCAACTGCCGCTTGTTTGAGAAGTTAGTGCCAAATTTACCTGATAGAGGGTGTCACATGATCAGTGCAATGGATCCCCATGGCCATTAACCTCGGTTTTCTAGACCAGAGCCACTTTTTCCTTGAAACAGCTCCTCAATTATCCTCACGAGGCTGAGTGGACCCCATTTCGGACCCACTACTTCTCAGAAAATCTAGTAACCCTGGGAATCGAACCCTGGACCTCCGGAACCAATACATAACTAATCTTGGTAAGTTCAGCTCTAAATCATACAATCTTTGTCAAAATCAATCCACTAATAATAAATACTGTCTGAACTTGGTGAGTGTTCAAGCTGTTTTGAATGCATACTGAATTTGTGGTTTAAGCACATAACACAGATTAAGCAGGAAGTGTTCAGTAGAGGATCAATCACTTACTGAGTGCCCCCAAAACTTTGTTATTGGTGCAGTATAGAACTCATATAGTTTCTTTCTCAGTCTCAGGGGTCGATTGTTCTTCACTTCAAAATAATCCAATGGAAAATGAAAATGCTGGTTCATGTCATCACATTCAGTTACAACTTTTCCATTTTCCTGAACAACTGTGTTTCTCATAGCATAGTTCTCATGAGAAATCAAAGCCTGTAACAACAAAAGGACACAGTCACACTCTTAGAGCAAATTTTTTCCAATGCTAGAAGATAACCTGTCATTGCACATGATACAACAGTGAACAAATTTCTGACATTTTATTTTAAATGCAAGATATGAGATATCTACATTACTGGCACATGACTGTACAGTATGTTCCACACAACTATGCAACTCGCTGGCAGTGTTTAGTAAGCACAGTCATAATGTGCACATTAATCTGACAACTCTCTTTTCTTCAACACTGAGGGATATAAGAAAGCAAATACTCTCTCCTTTCTGTTGAAGGTTACAATTCAATTTATCTTCATTGATTTGACTTTAACCCCAAAAATGAATGAAAAATTCTCAGTTCAGTTTTGAGTACATAAGAAAGAAGTTCTCTGCCTGGAAATATTTAAAATATCATTTGATCATCAAGTTAACTTTGTCCTTCTTCCTTGAATGTTTAAAGCCTCTTTTGATGTTCACTAACTAAATAACTGCATTTATGGAACAGTAAACCAAATAAGTACAACAAATCAGCTCTGTATAGGAAAACGTGCAAAACAACTTGTATTGGGCAGACACAACAAAATACACAGAGTGTATCATATGTTACTGGTTCCACCATCTCCCGTGCAACATGTCTCACTTTAAAAGTTCTGCACATCACATAACTTTTAACATTTTGAAAGTTTTTCACTATATGTTTTGACCACTGTGGTCATCATCAGGTGTTTAAAATTATAGTTGAGGAAACTGCTGTGCTTCTGGCTTTGCTTATTAATTTTTTAATACATGATTCCCTCTATGCGCATGTGTATTCCACGTGAAGTATTGTTCCTCATGTTGCGTTATGCTATGTGACATGTTGCACATGATGTGGTGGAACTAGTAACATTTGATACTAAGTGATGTGCAGCAGGATGCTACAATATGATATTACACTGAATGCTTATGCAACATAACAAATATTTCACAAATCCCACTACTATGATGCCACATCAGATATTTAAAGGCAACCATATACATCTGAAAAGACAACAGAAGTGCTCAGTGAACAACACACACCCACTTTCATACCACAAATGAGACTCTTCAGTGATGGACAGCAAATTTGTACATCTCTCTAGCCAGCAGTATACATATATATTTTTCAAGCAGTAAACAATCTTCAAAGTAATTTCAATATAAAGTGTAATAATTTCATAATATAAGTGTACTGGAACTAACTGCCCTTAATGAATACTTACTACATCAGATGCTATAATCTTTAAAATGTTACTAGATTTTATTTGAAACATATGATTGGATCCAAGGTCGCCATACTAAAGATATCATTGAATACCATGGACTATTTTTCTGTAAGACTGTCGACTCAAGGTCGGGTGCACCCTCAAGGATATTTTGGTGATAAATGACACAAATTCCATCCCAAGTGCAAACAATATATATTATATGTCATTTATCGTGTAGAGTGCAACAGGATGCTTAAATATAATATATTTTGGTGAGTTATATAATTTGTTCTGTAATGGAGAATTAACAACGAACTACCACATGTGAACACTCTTGAGAGATTTATGCTATGGCCTAATTAGAAGATCTAGAACTTACTGAAAATATAAATTGTGAAATCCTAAATCATGGAGGGATGAAACTAATACCACTGACAATTTATAAAAGCCACCTGATCAGTCAAGTTTGTATTCAGAAAATAATTAACTAACTAATGAAATAACTCCATGGAGATGAGTCCTTCTTGAGAAACTGCCAGTAGGTCAGCCACTCCAGAATTTCCCAACATTTTATGGAACCCTAAGGATCATTACCATATTCACAAGAACCCTTCACTGGTCCCCATCCTGAGCCAGATCAATCCAGTCCAGTCTAAGATCCATTTTAATATTATCCTCCCACCTACATCTAGGTCTTCCTAACGATCTCTTTCCTTCTGGCTTTCCCACCAAAATCTTATATGCATTCCTCTTCTCCCCCATGAGTGCTACATTGCTCTGCCTACCTCACCCTCCTTGATTTCATCATTCTATTTATACTTGGAGAAGAGTACAAGTTATGAAGCTCCTCACTATGCAGTTTTCTCCAACCTCCCATCACTTCAATGCTCCACGGCCCAAATATTCTGCTGAGCACTCTGTTCTCAAACACCCCCAGTGTAAGTTCCTCCATTAATGTGACAGACCAAGTTTCACATCCAAAAAAGGGGGGGGGCAAAATTATGGTTTTGTATATTCTAATTTTTAACTTTTTAGACTACAGATGAGAAGATAAAAGTTTATGGACTGGATGGTTGCAAGCATTACCAGAATTAAATCTCCTCTTAATTTCCTCCTCAATCAAATTTTGAATTGTTATGGCTGTTTCCAAATATATTAACTGTGCTACACTATTAAATAATCTATTATCTGTTTTTATGCTATAATTTTACCCTGCATTCTGGGGATGAGACATCAATATATAATTAGTTTTCTCTGTATTTACTTATAGACCAAACTCCTTAGTGTCAATTAGAGTTTGTGTTTTTCTTTATTGTATCCATGTTATCTCCCAATAGATTTATAGCATCAGCATAGACCGAAAGCTGACATGTTCCATCTAATTTCAGTCCCACCTGGTTTTCCTGGACTTTCCCAATGGCATATTGTACAGCAAAGTTGAAAACAATGGGGATACAGCAGAGGCTAGATGACTTTGCGATCTGGTACAGTAGGCATCTCCTAGGAAGATTTCCATGCAAGAAATAGAGCGAAAATGTGTTTTTCTGGCTTGGTACTGGGTGTCTGTAAGATCTTTTCTGAAGCAACCAGAAGATTCATGTAATCAGCATAACCCACTCCATATATATGCCAGATAACAGGTGGTTTACTATATATATATATAAAACAAGAGACATGAAAGTGCAGTGCGCAGTCTGAAATGTATACAATATGTCCAAAAAGTATCCGACTTTATTTTTTCTGCTGTAAGTAATGGCCAATGGGGTGGGGAAACGGAGCATAGTGGTAGAAGGGACTTTCATGCGGGTGCATGATTTTTGCTGACTCGCAACACTGCCGAATGCGTCTGTGGCTGCCAGATAGCGAAGTGGTGTAACACGTGTTCATCGCTCAAGACGACAGAACGCTTGGGGCAGTGATACTGCATTAAGTTTTGTCAGAAACTTAGGGATACCCAAGCGGAAACAATTCACAAAATTCAGCAGGCTTTCGGCGATGATGCAATGGGGGTCACTAAAATTAAAGAGTGGTTCAACTGCTCTAAACATGGCCGTATGTTGGCGGACAGTGAGCAGCGTTCTGGGAGACCGTCAATGCTGATGTCATGGAAAAAGTGCAGACACTGATCATGGAGGACCGTCGTTTGGCCATCCGTGAAGTTGCTGATGAGGTTGGGATCAGCAGAGGTTCCACAAACACAATTTTAACTGAGGATTTGGGCATGTGAAGAGTGGCAGCAAACTTTGTGCCCAAGCTGCTTTCGCCAGAGCAGCAACATCTCCGCCTTGAGGTTGCGCAGGACATGCTGGAGTGCGCCAACAGGGATCCTGAGTTCCTGAAGACTGTGATCACTGGTGACGAGTTGTGGGGGTATGGATATGACATGGAAATCAAGGTCCAGGCGTCACAATGGAAGCATCCAACATCCCCGAGGTCCAAAAGAGCACGACAGGTTCAGAGCAATGTGAAAGTGATACTGACTGTTTTATTTATTACCGGGGTGTTGTGCATCATGAGTATGCACCACTAGGCCAGATTGTCAATAAGGATTATTACCAAGCAGTCCTCCACCATCTTTGTGATGCAGTTCGGCGCAAGAGACCGGAGCTGTGGGACGCACGCAACTGGCAGCTGCATCATGACAACGCCCCAGCTCATTCATCGCACCTGATCCAGGGTTTCCTGGCCAAGCACAGCATTCCGCAGGTTCGCCAGGCTCTCTACTCTCCTGACTTGGCTGCTTGTGATTTCTGGCTGTTCCCGAGATTGAAGACACCGCTAAAAGGCTGCCGTTTTGACAGCCACGAGGACATCGTATAGAACGCGATGGCACAGCTGCACACCATTCTAAAAGAAGCCTTTCAGAATTGCTTCCAGCGATGGAAGGACCGCTGAGCTAAGTGTGTGGAGTCACAAGGGGCCGACTTTGAAGGTGATTAGGTATTGTAGCCACCGAGATACAGAACTTTTTTCCTGCTGCAAGGTTGGATACTTTTTGGACAGAGTAGTAAGTGCAATACACTGAAAAATAAAGCTGTGTTACCTGCTTCTGTCAGAAATAAATCTTTCTGCAATACTGGACATCCATAACATTAACAAAACAGAAAAGCATGGAAAAACCCAAGCATCCAAGGGGCTTCACAATAATCAACTGGTGCAACAAGAATGATACCAAAATGTAAGAACTTAACAACATGAGGGGTTGGCTTCTGTGTTAGTTCAGTGTCTGCTTTCCTTTACACCATTTCCCTGTATGAAAACTTAGAACATACAAGAACACAACACACAGGTTAACTACCTTGATACCCTGCTGGCTTGTAGGGTTGCTCCTGATGCTAAACTTTCGTGGCTTCTTCTAAAAAAAATGTTTCATATATTCAATGCTTTGGTTATTTGAAAAGTTAACCTATTTACAAACAGCTGTTCTTAAATTTGGATTGAATTTCAGATAAGGTAAAGTTAAGCAAAGTTGTCCCTGTGTTTGATTAATTATGCATCACGCCATGAGAACATGAGAAGTGGGGGTACAGTTCAACCATTCCTGACCTTGGCACTTGATGGATGTGAGTGAAATGTCAAGGTATGTTACATAAATGAAAGTTGGATAAAATCCTTTCTCTTCTATCTTCATCGCCTACTTTACATGTGTACTACTAATATGCATCACCACAATGCAGTCTCTGCATCTGGTATGGCATGTCTTTCAGGTTATGGACATAACTGTTTGCTGGATGAACCAAAACATGTCCTGTGCTTCTCCTATGGAACATATAAGAGCTATAATTACATTGGCAGACATTCTAGCTTCACAGTAAACTGCTATATCAAGGTTGTGGAAAGAGGCTTCATGGATGAACCCTACTCACATCACTCTAAGCTCTTATGTTTCCCTCTCAATTGTACTTCCTCATATTCCCCTCCAGGTTTCTGTCATTCTGTTCATACTAATATTGGCACTGACAGCCTTATCCAGCAGCATGGAACTGGAAGGAATATAGCAATGGTTGTACCAGTATGGATCGACAGAAATATTAAATAAATTAAGAAATTAATATGAAGAAAGGAGGAAGCCTCCAGCAGTGTCATCGTAACTACCAGTGGGGCTCCTTTCTGTAGCCTCAGTATAGATCATTGTCTTTTTCAATCAAGGGCAATAATTTTCTCCAGAAACACCGCAATGTGCTGGCAGAACTGTATTCTCTATTTACTTAGTTGTACTGCACAGTGTGTGCTAATGGCACATAAAATTTTAATTTTGTTCACAAATTATGAAAATGTGGAAGATATGCTGGTTATTTTTGAAATGCTATGAACATTCAGCATGGAAGGGTATGACGATGGTGAGTAAAACGACCATGGAAAGACTGAAATATCATGGCAGCAATACTGACAAGTGCATGCAAGTTATTGAATTAAATCAGAAAATTTCAAATTACCAGGGATGCCAACAGGTGGAACAGTCATAATGTTCTGACACTTTTTCTCTGTTCCCAAAGATAAAGGAAATATTGGAAGTATGGCATTTTGATGACACTGATGACATCAGGAGTAATGCAACAGCAGCTCTGAAGGCCGTTCCACAAAACCAGTTCCGCAATGAGTCTGCGAACTTTATTGTCAGACCATGCATAACTGTTAATTTTATGGACTTATGAGATCTATGTATACTTAGCTTCATACCAGAAAGGTCTGTTTTATTTTCTCTTACAATGTTGTAAATTTTAATGTAGTTATTTGTTTCTTTTGATCCTTCTGACTTCTCAATTTCTGATGTACCCAGGATTCTTATGTTTTATTTTTTTGCTAAAATATCATCCAGTTGATTTCTTTATGATATTTATATGGTACGCTCCAAGTGACAAAGTGTCATATATATTTTTTTCCCATATATTTATTATATTTTGGGTCATTTTCATAATTTTTAATCTGGTCCTCTTTATGTGATATCTTGAAGGCAATTACAATCTTTGCTCATCAACCAAAGTGCCATAGTCCAATGTTGGGGTTACTACCCTTAAGCCTCTTGACAGGTTGCGTATGCTATCATTTACACCAGTAGTGATGTAACAGTTTATTCCACTGTAACTCAGCGCGAAAATTGGGTATGTCAAAGGAATGCAATGTTGATGACTAAGGTGGAGAAATGAGATGCACCATACCCTCTAATGTAGCAAGGGTAAGAGTTTATTATTTTGCCTTCCATACACACAATCCACATACAGATATACAGTCATTAAAAGTTTCAACATGTTTCAGCTTTTTGGCCATTGTCAGGTACTGCAAACTTTTCATGTGTTGTAAATTTTTAATGTATACTATATCTAGTATATATTGATTGTGATTCATTCTAGCATCCTGTGGTGTTTTATATATATATAACTCTTACAGTACCATCAACACAACTATCCAGTATTAAGTGTTTGTTCTTTCCCATTACATGTTTTAGCTCTATTCCTAGGTCATCTTCATGTTACATACATGCTTCGACGTCATTCACCATAACTGTGAAGCCAAACATTCTAATAGAACATGGGTCCTTTGTTCATAAGCATTATCCAACTGGACATCTGTCATAAGGTTAAACAGTGAAATACGTAAGTATAAGTGTGAGAATACGCAAGCAATAAGGGAGCCATGACAGCAAGGTCAGCACAGCAAGTAGGTTATGGGATGAACAACCAAGGAACTAAGGTTCAATTCCTGCCAGAGAAAAGGCATTTCTTCTTCTCCACATGTCCAAACCAGTATAAGAATCCATGCAGCCTCTTGCCCAATGTGTACCAAGGGCATATTCCTTTGCGTAAATTGGCCAGAGCACGAATCTGCCGCTCATCTAAAGATGGTGCCAAGGTCAAGAGTGAGAGGAGATATAAATCCATTCCTCTCAAGACTTAGTTAAAACCAAATTTTGCGCCAAATTAATGCTTCTAAATCTGACTCAGCCACAGAGACACTAACCTAGCCACTGTGAGCATCCATTACTGTATATTTTGAAATTCAACTTTAGTTCACATTAAGAAATATTCATCTCCTGGCCCTGGGTTTTTAATCTTCATTCAATGGGATACGACAATGCATTTTTGTTGCTTTTTTTATCTTAAAATTGCACTATTTTTGGAAAATGGTGAGAAAGTAACATAGGGCAAAAGGGTTAAATAACAGCAGCAATAAAACACTACCTTGTTGAGTTACATCATCCCAACATTTCACTGGCATTCCACACAGAATGACATTTTTCTTCCATTTTCTTTACTTTTGCTTCTTGTTGGATATATTTACTGAATTAATTTTTATGGTGACTCAACAATTTTTATATCTTTCAAGAAGTCTCTTGTGACGACATCAGTTTATTGGTACAATAATGCAGTTGGTAGCCCCACTAATGAAATTAATTTAAAATTTGTTATATAAATAAAGACAAAAATAATGTGAGTACAAGCTAATACTGATTACATTACTAAAGAGTTAGGCTATATCATGTTAAATAAGTTCATATTTTCTGGAAACACAGAAGAACCAGATGAAACCCATAAACATGCCTGACATATTTGTTAACAGTTCTTCTAGCATGTTTCAAGACTATTTATGATTTCACTAGTAGCAATAAACTGCTTTGTTCACATGGTCAGGCAGGACCATGAAAGTGTTTGACACTGGCAGTAGTTCCTATTCTCTCTACATTCTGACTGTAAGCTTACCTCAGCATCTGGCTCCAAGTTACAATTAGTGTCCGTGGGTTGTCCCTCTATGCTCTCATTTTCTTCTTCAAGACCAATCAGATGTTCTTCTTCAGTCTGGGGCATGAGCTGCAATTCTTCCTTTGACTTAAATTCCAGCTTTGCAATGTAGAATGGACACAGCAGTCCCAGGATCACCTAAAGCATCCACATTTTCTTCAAGCTAGTATGAATGCATGTTACATTAGACTGATGGGGTGGGCATTAAAAGATCTTGCACTGGCAGCTTTCTTCAATTTATTGTGTATTCATAAATGCTACATGCTCATTCCTTCTACTCTTTAGATGAATACTTCAATGTAAATAGAGAATGATGTAAAATTAAGTTATATTAATTTTTAAGCTAAAATTGCCTGTACTTATGTATGTAACCTTTTTACTTGTTCTGTATCCAAAGGTACTAACCTACTTAGGATTTATAGAATGTAAATAAATTCAATTCAATTCAATTCAATTCAATGATCATGGTTTTACAGCAACAACCAGGTGCTGCTGCCATTGTTTATTTGGACAAATAATTTCTGACCAAGCAAACTGGCCAAAGCAGTAATGCCTCAAACTTTTATTCAGGAGGTGACTGGTTTGAATCTCGGCCCAGATACTCAATGTTCCAAATCAGATATTTTTGTGGTTCTCATCAGTTCCTCCAGAGAGATGCCAGGAGAGAGCAGAAATTAGTTCATGCCATTTTATGCTCAGATAGTTTCCAATTCATTATTCAACGATCACTGTACCATTCAATACTTTAAAGACTTGTGTGCTGGGACTTACACTGTAGTCACCACCACGTTGCATAATATTTTCTTTGATCTCTGGGGTCTTCTGCATGTGGTAGCTAACAGCAGCTTGAATTACAGCACTCCTATGGAAATTTAGGTTAGTGACACCTAATCCTGAATGTAATGACAGTGCAACTGTAAGGAAAGGCTGAGGTATGGTAAAACTATTGCTTATTTCCTACTACTTCTAAAGGAACGTAACTAATTGCAAATATAATGAATGTAATGTACATAATTAGTAAAACCAATCAGTTGTTGGTGAGATCACTGCCAGGATGCCTTCCATCCTTATTCATGTTTTGCGTTCAACTCAACTGCACTAACCAGAAGTCAGGAGTACATTGTGATCATCTTTCTGGAGATGACTTCAGGTAACTTCAGCATATAAATTGATTTAATTATGGACACATGTGGCTGAAAAATCCTGACTATATGAACTAGCTGCTGGTGGTAAAGATGCAGGCCAAGATACCATGCCTGTCTGTTGGCATCACTGCATCAGCATAAAGTGCTCTGTAGACAAATGTCACCAAGTGATAGCTCACTTTATCTTGGAAATGATTTTTCCAATACAACTATGTTATTTCATTACAGCTATTCCAAAATTTGAAACTAGAAGTTTCCTCGCTTCCTCAAATGCATAAAATAATCTAAAACCATGGGTATTGCCTAAAAAAGTTACATAGTAACATGGTGATTAATTTGGTTGATCAAACAAATAAAATGTACAAACAAATACATAAAAAGGAGAAATTATCCTGAACCACATGACAGCTGGACTTGGCATTCTAAAATTGAGCAAACATATCTATACTTCTGTGAACTGCTATGAGTAGTGCTATCAGCTTTTGACAACTTGCTATGTCACTGCACCATCACCCTGTGCTACTTCACTGCATTGCGCCTGCTCACTGCGTCTTTAGATCTGTAATGAGAATCTTGTACTGTTCCACTTAACATCCCTTATTTATCGTCCATCAATACTGCAACACTCTTCCATTCACCATTCAATTTTTAGTTTAACATTATACACCTTGACACTATATGTTTTGGCCCCAAACAGCCATCTTCAGGTGTCTTGATATGTTACAATCATTTTATTAAATTGTGTTAAAACTGCTACACTGTCTTAGTTTGTGTTAAAATCACACGCTGTAGTCCTCTTTTTAAGGTAAAACCAGATAAAATCCTTTAAATTTTCTATTATACCCACGTTATTTTGGTGCATATTATTTCACCTCACATGGGGTATCGTCCATTTTCATAAATGCATGTCTGTCCCGGGTGTTTTGTCTCGGCAGCTTGCCCCTCACGTTCGTAGACTACTTTTCAGTTATGACTGCCATATGTCCCTGGTTTGCGTGTTTCCTCCACAGTGTGTGGTCTTGTCTTTACTAGTCACTAACACAATTTAATAAAGTGATTGTAACATATCAAGACACCTGAAGATGGCAGTTTGGGGCCGAAACATATAGTGTCAAGGTGTATAATGTTAAACTAAAAAATTGAGTGGTGAATGGAAGATTGTTGCAATATTGATGGACAATAAATAACAGACGTTAAGTTGAACAATTGCAACGGGATGCTGAAATACAGAATCTTCTACTGTTCATTTTGTCTTTGAGTAACAAAAAACATAAAGTTTATACAGTTTTTTCAAAGTAACAACAGTAAAATGTTCTTTCATTCCTGTTCACAAGAATGACAATTTTTTGTTTAAAAACATCAGTGGTGAACTGTTAGTATTTATTTGCATAATTTCTTCTTTAAATTGCACTCATTTGTACATGCTTGTTATTACAGTTCTCTGGGCATGTGTGATCATCTCTCAATCCAATGATGGGGTCAGTGACCAAGTCACTATTCCCTTATGCAGTGCTTTGTGAACCATAAGTAACAAATTCACTGTCTCTGAGTTCTACTTCACTGCATGTACTGCACTTCTTATGGGACAATATCTCAGCAGAAGAAATGTGTGGATTATCATGATCAGATTGTGGACTCCCTTGTGAATTAGGACCTCTGGATGGTTTGGAATGTAAAATTATTCTGGATAATCTTTAAATCAGTATGGTTTACATTAAAAATGTTTGATTATTACTAGTATAAAAAGGATGGGATTATTGAATACTAAATAGAATTGCATTCAATCTGTGATTTGCTACGAACTTCATGTGCTGCTAGCACCATCTTTACACCCTAATGATAATGTGCATTAGATTCACTGTGTTTGTTAGTATGAGTAGTTACATTCCTTCAGTAGTAGTAGTAGAAAATAAATATTAGTCAGTCGGTCGGTCGGTCGGTTGGTTGAACAGATGGTTGGTTGGCTGGCTGGCTGGCTGGCTGGCTGGTGGGTTTAAGTGGTTTAAGTGGTATGATTTGGTTCAGTTGGTTTGATAAGGTTTGTTTCTTTGGGTGGGCTGGTTTTGTTGGGTTGGTATGGGTGATTTGGATTGATATGGTTGGGTACTGATGGGTCTGGTCTGATTTGGTTTGGTTTGTTTTGGTTGGGTTGGTTTGTTCTCTGCCAGGACAGTGGACAGGGAAAGATATTGTTAAATAACCCTTCTCAGGATCATGGAGTGAACTGTAACACTGAATGACAACTGGTGTTCCCCCAAATCTGCTGCCCAGTGTCCTTTCGAAACACAAACTTATACAAACACAGAAATTACTACCTTACCCAATCTGACCCTGAGTGAAACACTGGCAACACTGCCCACATCCACATGGTGTACACACCCAAGAGCTGAACTGAAAATAACAGTTAAGCAGCATGAAAACCAACAATCAGTAATGATGTTGTTATGTTTTTTAAACTGTATGTGAGAATACCTGGAATGTAACACCATGGTGTTTGGTAGATACATTTTGATGGAATCTACAAAAAAAAAAACTACACAGTGTCACATCCCATAAGACTGTAATTTTCATGAAAATATTTGGAATGGCAGATTGATCAGTTGATTCTTGGATTATATAACAATGCAGTTTCACCTTCAAAGGCTATGAAGCATCATATGTGATTGTATGATGATTGTGAATGGTGAATAGGTAAGGATTTAGAAGCAGGCAATCATGATGTACTTCAAGATATTATCTCAGTATTCACCAGGAAAAATCTGACTCAGGATAAACAGAAACCTGACCAGTATTCTGCATACTACTCTAATGCATTAATGCCACACCAATCTGGCTGTCAAGTGGCAAAATAAACTTTGTTTTGCATGTGAAAGCTCCCCTGAAGTGAAGACACTACAAAGAACATTAATGGAGTGAAAAGTTCAGAAATAGCAGGGAATGGTGAAAAAGCATAACATGATCACCATTCACCATGAATACAGTGATTCAAGAGTGTGCCATACAATGTGGGTACTTTAATCAAGAGATTTTGAACAACAGTATTTTATTAACGTAGTTGAAACTTTGACTGTTCCAGGAGTTATGGCAGCTTGACAGTAAGATAAAAATATACCAGAAATAAAGATGTTTAATAAAAATTACAAGAATTTCAACATATCTGTGGTTTATTTTACAATACTGTCAACATCTCAGACAATGTAGCATCAAATGGTATGGCAACTGGTGAAGAATTAAGTGGAAGGGATGTGGAATGAAGCAATCATTACTCAACGAAAGTACTATACTGGCATTTGCCTGGAAAGATTGAGGAAAACCACAGTCAAGATAATCAGTGCCCCAGTTGAGATTTAAACCATGCACCTCCTGAATATATGTAGGGCATCATCGCCACACCAACCTGCGAAGTGAATATCAATGTTATTTCAAAATTAAACAAAGTACAAAAACTGTGTCACACAATCATCAAGAACTTTAAATTTAGTTTTATCAGTTTCCTGAATTCCCAATGGATGACATCAACATCACAGTCATAGAATATTGCTTTCCAATCATGAATGATGTAAAGACAACAAAAAGACTTACGACATGGCAAGAACACACTTCGTCAATTGTTACTGTTTCAAACTGAAAGTTCCTTTGCATGTAAAAGCAGGACAGCAAAACCATCAATGAATATTAATCCACTGCTAACATCATTTCTGAAAGGTGGTGTGCAAACTCTGTCCAAAGAGTTGTACCACATGTGTGAGACATTTCAAATTTGTGTTTAATTTATGTTATCAATTGGTCCTGTTATGTACAAATGGCAGACTTATGCCCTTCCACAGCCCTCTCTGACCAAGAACGCATTTTATTTATCAATATACACCAAAGAAAATCTAAACATGAGATAACACTGCGACAGCAGGGACTTGAATGTAATTGTTGTATTTGAGCTTCTAATTTTCTAAATTAGTTCCCTGAAACCATACCTTCAGATTGGTATTTTTGCGAGTGCGTAAACCACCCATCCAGAGGTCAGCAAGTATAATCTGACTGCAGGGGTGAGCAAGTAGAGCCCTGTGATTGGCTGCTACTGCCAGACTTAAGCATGTTTGTCCACTCCAGTTCTGCAGTTCACAAGTCAGCAGCTGCTGTGTTTGGTCATCATGCTGTCGGTAGCAAAAGTCCAGAAGCTCCAGAGCTGTGAAAAAAACTTATGTAACTCCTGGTTGCACTGCAGGACTGATGTATAGTGAGAGCTATACAAATCAGCATCACACATCCTCTAACTGTAGCATACATTTTTCTTCTGACTGTTTCATGAAAATAAATACATTTTGGGCCATTTATTTTGTTTTACCATGTGCACTGACACTGCTATGTCAGTACTTGAATGAAGACAATGTCAGATCCCTCAAAACATTCACAGATATCCTCACAATTATGTTTCAATGGCCAGTTCTATTAACAAAAGGATGGAGCTGCCACAGGTTCATTGCTATCTCCTGTGATGGCTAATTTCCTCTAGGAGGGGCTCCCCATTGTTGGTTCTATTACAACGTCACATATTTGTGACCTAGCCCATAGATGGAAAAGGCTTTTCTGGATTACCTAAATAGCACACACAACATCCAGTTTGCCATGGAGACAGACATGATCACCTCACCTTCCTGGACAACACCATGTGCAGAGGACACGATGGCTACTCTGGTCATACAGCACACAGAATGCGAACCCATGCTAACCTCTATTTAAATGAAATGTTGCACACCCACTTGGCAAAAAAGTAGCCTCTGCTATCGCCCTTGACACCCTTCAAAGGACCTTTTCTGAGAACAGTTACAGTAGAAAACAGATATCAGGGTCTCAACAAACCCCCGCAACAAGCCTGACCGCCTGAAGAGGACTCAAATATGGCTTTTCTGCCCTTCATTCAAAACACCCACAACCACACCAGCAGGATGCCATTCAAGCATAATACAAAACAACTGGCCTCTGACAAAGAAAATCTGCCAGCTTCCTTCATTACATGAAGTGCAGCAAAGGATACTGTCAAGTGTGTCAGTGACCAAGACACAGGTTTGGATTGGTAATTGGATTTATTGACCACTTACAGGTTATAACTACAAATAATGATGACACTATTGATGATTTACACAATTTACAATCACTCCACACTAATCTTCACCTTGTCTGCTTCTTTGTTTGTGTGTTTCTGCCGCTATTATTTTTAACTCGTAACTGCTTTACTTATATAGCGGATGAATGGACATGGGCCTACAGTAAACACACATCACATGATCGCTATCCAGCCAGCCTATTGGCATGTTGGTCAATTCTACAGAAGTCAAAGTCAAAGTCACATTGCAACCGACGGTCAGTCAGTCAGTAATTCTTGGTGTCGAGCCCCATCCGGGTCTCACGACCAGATATTTATTGCTGTTTGACAGTTACAGTCTTGTTTTCATAGGATGCCCTCTCTGACAAGAGGATGGGTCTGTATTTTGTATATGCTGCTGGTCCTTGGCAGCGCAGTCTTTCTCAGGTCCAAGACCTTTGTACTTGCGACCATATTTTACTGTCTCAGATTTCAGATTTCCCTTTTCGTCACCTCCTACAAATTGCAGAGTCATGGTGGAGGTATTCCGCCCCGCCTCAATATGGGTGTAATCCAATCAATTCTACAGAAAACACATATAATGTGATCACTATCCACTGTTGTGACATCACTGTGGACATGGAAAACACAGCTTCCTCTATTGTTGCGTGCTCTAGCAATCGACTGTTTACCAAGAATCTGTTTTGTGAGAACTTGTTTACCAACACGTTGTCTAGCAATCGGTACACATGTAACAGTATACAAGGTGGTATCTGTAATTTCTGGGACTGGTACTACCATCTGTACATAAGTTGTAGTAGCGCAATGTAACAGTAGATAGTAATAATAGCATATCTTGGCAGTCAGTGTACAAAATTTAATACAGCAGGGTGGACGTGCTGATTTCTTAAATCCTTTTATTTGGAGTCTTGTATCTGGCCTGATGCGATTTTTCCCAGGATTCTGATATCATCATCCTGCATGACAACGCTCGCCCCTACGCCGCTTGCCTCAGATTGGAAGCAACTGCAAGGCTGGAGTGGGAAGTTCTTCCACACCCCTCCTATAGCCCTGATCTGGCACCCTCCGACTACCATCTTTTTGGATTTGTGAATGATCAGCTGTGTGGACAACATTTGAGACAAGGGCAGCAATTCAGAAAGCAGTGCGTCAGTGTCTTCGGATGGCTGGAATGGAATTTTATAGAAGGGGAATTCTCAAACTCCCAGAACGCTGGAAGAAATGTGTACAAAGAAGTGGCAATTATGTGGAAAAATAAAGAAAGGTCTGTAGATTAAGGTGGTATATTTGGTTTGTCAATAATAAAGCATGTTACTTTACAAAAAATTGTTGCTCATGACTTTCAGTAGTACCCTCATATTTTGCCAGACATCTCACATAACAACTGATAAGTTTTGGTGGTGGTATTCTTCAATCTTGTTCAAGTTTGATGTTAATATATTCAATTTTTATATCTAGCATACTGTAGTGTGTAGGCTCATTACTAGGCAGTGACCATGAAACATGCAGGTTCCCATGGCAGTGACTTCATATGAACAATAGAGGAACTGCTGGAAACGGTTTTTTCTCTGCGGCCCAAGCTGACATGTTACAACTGAGACAAGTTTAGAAGTTAGTCAGTTGTAAGGGAGTCTGTGAAGAGAAGACTTAGTCAGTGCAGTTGAGAGCAAGCGAGTATCAAAGTCAGTGCAGAAGCTGAAGAATCTCCATTGTTACAAGCCATTACCAGTGAATTATTGGTGAAGTTACAGCTGACTGAAAAGACTTAGTGTCAATTAATTTCTTACAGTCTCATATGCAACACTATGTTCTATAAAATTTATTAAAAGTGTCTTGTTTCTGATGCATTCAAAAACAAGACAAGCAGCACAACACACAACAGGAGAGATTACAACCCACTAACTGAAACACACATGCACATCAAGGGAACTTATATATTAACAACATAATCAACAACAGAAGAGAGCAGTTTCCTCACCCAATAATTTTAACACCTGATGATGACCACATTGGTCAAAATATGCAGTGAGAGACTGCACATGAGACTGTAAAATCTATTCAACAATAAGTGAAAAGTGCAACAGAATGTTACTTAGCATGTGCTGCAGTGATTTGTAAAGTGTGGTGATCAGTGATGGCGTTATAGTTAAGTGTCATCACAAGCTGTGTGATAAAGCAGTCAATGAATTCAATCTCCAATCCAATCCCCATCTATAGTCATTCCATCATGTGACAACTGGTGTCAGAAGTGACTGGATTGGGCACTGCATTGGATCTTGATCATTATACTGCCAGTATGCACATGGAATAAATGATGGCATGCCTGCTGATTGAAATATGAACCAATAAAAAGGAGTTGAAAGAAAAAATGAAGACTAACCGAGAGGAAATGAAAGAAGGCATAAGAACCAATCAAGTCAAGGTGGACGCGAATCTAAAGGAAATGACAGAAGAAATGATCACAAGGCTGGAAGTCATGATAGACGTCATCCAAGAAAGGATGGATGCCAAGTTAGATGCCTACCAAGAAAAGATGATGGCCAGGATAGACTCCCAGCCAGAGAAAATGGGTGTCACGGTGAACGTCTTCAAAGAAAGGCTGAAGAAGATGAAGGCCCTGGATTTGGAGGGAAATCCAGAAAAACAGTCTGAGGCTAAGCATGAGGAGGTCCCTAAAGGAAAGGCAACAATAGTATCTGTCAGAGCACTGAAGGAGTGGAATGAGGACTGGCGTTTAGCCACAGGACACTGCTGACAGCCAAATAAATGGATCCAGGGTGAAGGTGGGTCTTGGCCGTGCCACAGCTCAAGTGGTTAGTTGCTGGCTTCCCACCGCGGAGGCCCAGGTTCGATCCCGGGGTCTGGTCAAGTGGGATTTGTGGTGGACAAAGTGGCGCTGGGGCACGATTTCTCTGAGTACTTTGGTTTCCCCTGCCAATCTCCATTCAATCAAAATCTTCATCATCATAATCACCCGCGGCAGGTACAATAGGCCAATCATTGGCCGCCATACTGAATGGACCCAGCTGGACTCCACCACCCACTATGCAAATTAAGAAAAAAAAAGGTGGGTCCTGGAAAAAGTAGGCCATCATCCACAGACATATGACTCACCGTGCAGGAACGGCCCGGCATAAGGGACACGGTCTTCAGGGACCAGGCAGGGACAATGTTGCAAGAGCAGCCCTAGAGGACAGAGGCTCAAGGGGAGACAACGGACGCACCAAGAAGGTTGCAATGGAATAAGGGGCAGAGATGTAAACGAGCAACTGCATCTGAGGAAGAAGAAGACATCTGGCAGGATTTTCAGGAAGACTGTAGAGCTGGAGGTGGCAAAGCAAATGGTAGGGAACTTCGATTAGACTGCAGAAAATGAGTGATTTTACATTGTGGAGGGGTCAGCCCCCTCCTAAGTGAAAAAAGAGACTGCATACAGAGTAAGAGCTGGATATGTATGAGTAATGGCCACTCTAGGTAGTTTTGCCGGCACTGACCGAAAGAAGGATGATTGCAGTAAAGCTGGACTGACTGGCATCTTATGATGGAACCACTCAGGATGAGGCCTTAAGGAGGGAGCAGAGGGAGCAGTTGGAAAGTAATCTCTGTGAGAACCGAGCCACGGGGAAGGCGGGAATGATCACAAAGTCACTGGCAAAGCCCTTGGAAAAGAAGAAATGGAAGTATGCCAGTAGGCTATGTAGTGTGTAGAACCGTGACTAGGTAGTGACCATGACACAAACAGGTTCCGATGGCAATGATTTCATGCACAACAACAGAGAAACTGTTGGGAAACAGTGTTTTCTATGCTGTCTGTGCTGAGATATTATAACCAAGACAAGTTTAGAAGTCAGCCAGTCTTTAGGGAGTCTGTGAAAAGAAGACTTAGCCAGAGCAGTCGAGAGCCAGCAGGTAACAAAGTGAGCACAGAAACTGAAGAATCTCCACTGTTAGAAGCCATTACCAGGGAATGACTGGTGAAGACACAGCAGGCTGAAAAGACTTAGTGTGTGCTGCAGCAATTTGTAAAGTGTGGAGATCAGTGATGGTGTTATAAATAAGTGCAGTTTCAAGTCATGTGTTAAAGCTGTAAATATATTAAATCTCTGATCAAAATCCTGTCTATAGTCACCCTATCATGCGAAAATATTTTAGATACACAGCAAAAACACTCCTTCACATGAACTGCTTAACTCTCCACAAAGTGAACATGCTGATGCAGACGACAGCACACAACTAGGGGAGGGTTCAAGATTAATAACCATGCACTCTTTTTGTGGACAGGTTACAATGTGAGAGCTGTACATGCAGCTTCCTTACTTAATAGCCCCACCTAATACAGCATTTCCAGTGAGGGTGGGAAGGTGCACATTGGACAAACTGGACATTCCACTGACACTTGACTAACGAAAACAACCACATCTGGCTATGGTGGAACACAGCATCAATCTGGGTTATCAGATCCTGCTCAGCAATAACATCCTGGACAAGCAGTAGCAAAGCAACAGAGATTGTGCTACACTTCAACACCTTAAACAGGAAGGATGGGTTCTCCTTGAGCAGACTGAAAGTCTCTTATCCAGTTCTTGAAGGAAAGGAAGAAGGTTCTGGCCAAAGACAAGTTAGTCAATCCCCCAGAAAAGCTACTCCTCTATCCAGGCCCTTGAAGAAGTAGCTGATTTCTCAGTCCCTACTCCCCATCCTTTGGGGTCCTGAAAAGAACAGTTTTTCATAATTTGTGTATTCAATTTCCATCCAGTAAGGAAAACACGCAGGGCCTGAAAAGGGCAGTCTCTTTTCACTATTCCCCTTTTCATCGTAAAAACAATATTATGAGCCTGGAAAGGGCTTTCTTTACTCAAAATTACATTCTCTGCCTGTGACAAAAAACAGTCGGTGCCTTAAAAGGGCACCCCAGCCTTGAGTCTGAGTGAAAAACTTCCTTGTAACCTAAAGTCAAAAATTATCCGCACTCTTGTTTTCCAAATTTATATACACAAAAGTAGGGGTTGAATAAGTATGTCATTTTTCTACATAGTATCCTTCCTTTTCAATGCACTTGGTCCAGCTGTCCACAAGCTTGTGTATTCCCTCCAAGAAGAAGGTTTTCGGATGGTCACGCAACCATTTATGCACCGCTTCTTTGTCCATAGAAAATCGACGACACTGTAAAGCATCTTTAAGCTGTCCAAAGAGATGATAGTTGGAAGGGGCGAGATCTGGGCTGTAGGCAGGGTGTTCCAGCACCTCGAAACCCAAATGGTTAATGGTTTCAATGGTCTGGCAAGCCATGTGTGGGCATGCACCATCATGCAACAACAACACTTTCTTGAACAATAGGTCTCAGCGTTTGGTGCGAATTGCTGGCTTCAGATTGTTGGCCAGCAAATCACTGTATCTTGCACTGCTGATCGTACACCCTATTTTCAGGTAGTCTTCCAGAATAGGCTCTTTTGAGTCCCAAACTGGAGACTGGAATGACTTTAAATGTACTGTACTTATTTGCAGAATGTGAAAAGCTCAACTGATATGGATGCCAGGTCACAGGGGTACTGAAGGTAAAAAAGCTGCCAATCAACTGGCAAGATTGGGATCTGCAGGTAATTTGATAGAACCTGAACAAGCAGGGAGTATTTCAGGAGGGACTGCCAAGAAGGCACATTTTCACAAAATCTTACAAACTGGAGAATGTTCTGCTTGCATTCATGTGAAAGACCCTCCCACACTTAATATGGCTGATCACTGATTCCTTATAGTCTTATTATTTCATTTTCATATGAATTCCTTGGTTTCTCTAACATACCAGCTACACTTACCAATGTTTTCAAACTCTTTCCCATAGTTCCTTAGTTCTTCATATATCTGTGTCTCCAAGTCATCTTCAGCTGCTTCATGAGCCATAGCTTTATAAAGCTTGCAAGCCACCAGAGCTTTAGCTAGGGCTTCTTCACCACGTTGCCACATGAGCAAAGCCATCTGCTGCCTCCTGGTCAACACTGCCCATGTCTGAAACATCATATAGATTCTTCAATGGACTATCACTATTAGAATGTGGGACAAATCATGATATAAAGGTGATTACTAAATCCTTTAAAAATGTGGAAAATATTTGAAATATTAGGGTATGGTAAGAACACGCCTTTACATTGATAAAGTATTTGATAGCATATCAAATCTGCAGAATGATTGCTACCATTCAATCTAGAATCTGTTATCAACCCAAGTCCTACCAAAAAACCTCCCAGCATACTAAAGTGTTATATTCGATGCAAGTGCCATGTAGTGTTTTCTTATTGCAAAATTGAAACAGACACTCACAAGCAGCTCGTTGAATGGATAATCAAACACAGCAGTCTCCTTTGATGTTGGGAGGGTTTCTGCCAGGAGACTCAATGTCACATTGGTGTTTCCACAGTAACGGATGAAGGATGAGCTGTTTCGATGAACGTGTGGAGATTTCTTCATCACTTTGCTGTAGATGAGCCGGAATTTGCGTCGGGTGTAATATGACCTTCAACACAGAATCATAGACACACACACCTCAAAAAGAAGAATCACAGCAAGCAGATGAAGTAATGAACAAGCGGAAAAACTCGCACAGTAAGATCTTTTTTTTTAATATACTGTTAAAATGGTTAAATGAGGAAATATGAGACAGACATAGAGAGTACTGATTGCACATGGAAACAAGAGAAGCATACACAGACTACTTGGGAACCTAGGAATAGATGTGACACACAAACACAAGCTAAAATTATACTGTTTACTTATAGCTCTTTATCCTCTAGTTCTGGTGCACATTATTATATAATGAAAAGAAAATCCTTGGGGATGAAATGTGTATACTTGCTACCCAAGAATAAGACCATTACAAAATTATGTAAATCTGCAGAAAATTTCAAACTCGAATTAATTCAGAAGAATTCTGATCTGAATGATAATATGCACTTTAGACATAAGATTTACTGTGATTTGATTGTGAATATCAGTTTAATTTTTTCTTAACAAAGCATGCTAAGTACACAGATATCACACTGACCTGTAAGCTCCGCCCATCAGCTTGTTGATGACCAATCCAATGTCATGCAGAGTGTACACGTAACCACGCGGGATATGAGGCCGAACATCCCTCAGAATGTAGCCCAATGTGTTTGAAGGTCCTTGTTTCTGTAAAACACAAATTCAATCCTAATTTTGAAAGATCATGAGTTTGTGGTCACTGTTATGTATGAGCACTTCCATTTGCACCCCAATAAGTTGCTCCCTTCCTCACTATGCACTCCCTCTGAAAATAATTACTTTCAGGAAAACCGAGACTTCAAGTGAAGAGTACAACCCTCTGTGAAGCAAAGCCATACAGTACAGCAGAAGTTCTCCAAAATTTCAGACGAACATGTTGCCTCCATCTTCAGGGCTGAGAAGTAAGCCAAGCAAGGAGCTAGGGACAAGCAGGCAGCAAACAGAGTGAAACATCTGTGAATGTCTACTGCACTACATCACATTACATCGCATAAGACGGTACTCTTTGCGGTCACAATTGCAAGAACCCAAAATGCCACAGATCTGTCAACTGCTCATTGCTCATTACTTTAGGAGGATGATATTTATGGTATGTTCAATATTTAGTATCCGCAAATGGATCTTCCACAAGTTGTAATGAAATATCAAGTTAATGAAGATTTCAAATTCACAATGAACTTCTGAATAAAGGTATGTTATCATGATTGATTAACTTGTTAGAAAGTAATTTTCATATACTGAAATAAAGATTTTGTATTGCAAGGTAAAAGTGAATTGCCCTTGTGCTTAATTAAGCATGATATCATGAAGATGTATGGGGGACTGGACATACAGTTGCACTCATACCTAACTTTGGCACTAAATGGAAGAGAATGGTCAGTTTCATTCCCCAGCTACCCACACTCTCAGGGAAAGAGCCTCCAGAAAAATGGACGGGACTCACAGCTGGTCTGAACAGTGTGGCAAAGAGGAAAATATCTGTGCCCCTGTTGGGAATTAAAGCCCAGTCATACCCAGTCACTACACTGACTGAGCTTGCACATTATAATCATTCTTCAATGTGTCTAATTAGAAATGAAAGTTTTGGAGAGAATGTTGGAAAACCATATTTTAGATTCCAACTTTTTAATATACTTTGAAGAGATAAAACTACAATGGTTTGGCTACATAAAAGGAATGAACAGAATAAGGATTCTGAGAAGCACATTAATTTTAAACTTCAAAGAACAATTCAGAAAAAGGCAGCTGAACCAGGTACTAAAGTAAATCAAGAAGAAAGGAAATTGCAGGGAAAAAAGTGAAAAGGAAAGACTGTAGGAAGATATTCATACAAGAGCTTGGAAACTTTTCAATCACTGACTGTACAAAACTGAAAAGATATTAGAAGAAAAAGACAATACGTCTAATGAAATTAGAATGGGCAAATTCACCTTGGTTAAAAGTTGTGTTTCACTTATATGCAGTGCAGTGACAGTGAAAGCGTCAACCCATAGATTACTACATAATAACCATACAACCGGCTAATTCTTGTGTTTTCTATAGTGAAAGGCAACTCAACATGCTAGTCACGTAGGAAAATAATAAAACCGCTACCCATCCTATAACTCAAGTGGTGCATGTGATCAATTAAGTGGACTCCATTCCCCCACGATCTCAACTTGGAATTTTCCCAGCAGGGGTCAGGCAGGTTACCTGCCCAGCCCCAAGATATGGATACCTCGGAACCCACTCCACCGGATCACTGGATCAGAATATCCAACAAATGAACTCAACCCCCATCAGAGGACCACCACAGAGAAACAAAAATATCAAAGAAAAGCACCACTGGATTCATCCAACAACTACCACTAACCGTTACTCAGTCCTACAGGACAAAGAACCCGAGCAACCAACAAGGCACAACGAACCTGGAAAAACACTGAAGCCATCAGCAATTTATGTAAATGACATCACCACCGTCTCCCCACTCATACAATTACTAGAACAAAAAGTAACAAACCAATATGAACTTAAAGCACTCTCCAACAACCAGATCAAAATACAACCTAAAACCTCAGAAGCCTACTGTACAATTATCAAAGTCCTAGCATACAAAAAGACGGAATTCCATACCTATAGACCAAAAGAAAAAAGAAACTATAAAGTAGTGCTTACAAACCTGCACTACTCAACCAACACAGAAGATATCCAAGCCAAACTTGGAAAACTAGGTCACTCAGTTACAAATATATGGAACATAAAGCAAGCTAGAACAAACATTCCTCTCTCCATGTTCTTTGTTGAACTCAAACCCGCTCAAAACAATAAGGACACATACAACGTGGAATACTTATACCAATGCAAAGTCAAATTCGAATCCGCTAAGCACAAAAGGGACATAGCGCAATGTGCCAACTGCCAGAGATATGGTCACACAAAAAACTATTGCTACCTCAAATCACGATGCGTCGAATGTGCTGGCAACCACACTACAAATCAGTGTCACCAAAAAGAAAGATCGAATGAAGTTCGATGTGTCCTCTGTGGCGGAAATGACCCAGCAAATTACAAAGGATGCACCATTTACAAAGACCTTCAAAAGAAAATATACCCTCCTCTCCGACCCAAGACTTACCTCCCACCTCCGGAATCATACACTCCCCCCACATAAAACAATCAAACCCTACACACACAACCAGCAGTAACATATGCCCAAATAACCAAACAAAATACTTATGCCCCCTTAACTGAGCAGGAATCTCACGCAAACCTATCCCACCAACAAACCAGCGATATTCAGGAACTAAAAAACATGATGAAAAGTCTCATTGAGCAAATGGGAACTATATTAAACCTCCTACCCACTGTGCTTACCAAACTAAAATAATGGATAATTTCCTACAACTAGCCATATGGAATGCCAATGGCTTGACACAACATATAGAAGAACTGAAAACTTGTATCACTATACGCAACAATGATGTCATGCTAATTTCAGAAATGCACTTCACCGACAAAAGCTACCTAAAACTTCCGAACTTCACAGTCTACCACTCAAACCATCTGGATGGAACTGCCATAATCATAAAAACATCCATCAAGCACCACCAATTAAACAACTACAGTCAAGATTTCCTCCAAGCAACTAGCGTGTCAGTGGAAGACCCAACCAGACCCATTACAATTTCAGCTGTGTATCTCCCACCCAAACACACAGTAAAGCAAGAGCACCTAGAAGACTATTTTAATACCCCAGGGCAAAGATTCATCGCAGGAGGGGATTACAATGTTAAACATACTGACTGGGGGTCCAGACTCACAACACCCTGAGGACGTGAAGTACTCAAAGCGTTGGAAGGAAATAACCTAAAACATCTATCTACAGAAGAATCCACCTACTGGCCAACTGACAGAAACAAACTTCCTGATCTAGTGGATTTCTGTGTTACAAAGGGTATCCCCCCCAATCCTTCGCTGTAACAAAAACAAGTTTTGACCTATCCTCCGATCATACACTGGTCTTGATCACACTCAGAGCACAGACACTGAATCAAGAGAAACAACCAAACTTGACCAATAAACATACAAACTGGGACGACTTCAGACATCACTTCAAGGAGAGAATAAACTTACACATTCCCCTCAAAACTGAAGAAGAAATCAAAACAGCAATCAAGTCTCTTAACGATACAATATAGTGGGCAGGCTGGAACGCAACACCAGAACTCACAGACACACTTAAGACATATAACTGTCCAGTACTAATTAAACAGAAAATCACAGAAAACAGAAGACTCCAATGGAGCTGGCTCCATTTATGAACTCCAGAGAGCAAATGACTACTTAACGCAGCAACACAGGAACTCAAACAACTCCTCAACATAACAAAACGACTGCATCCAAATGTTCCTGCATGGTCTCACACCAACAGAAGCCACCACCTACTCCTTGTGGAAGGTGACCAATACAATAAAACAGGTCAAGAAATTCTCCCCACCCCTCAGAACACCACAAGGAACCTGGGCAAAAACCAATGTAAAAAAAGCACACGCCTTCACAGAACACCTAACGAAAATTTTCCAGGCGCATCCCACAGAAAACAAACCCGAAGAGGAAGAAGTATTCACACAACTTCTGAACAACCCCATTCAACTTGAACCTCCACCCAATCACTTCAAGAGAGCTGAAGTCCAAGAAATCATCATCAGCTTCATTCATTCATCAGTAATCTGTCAGACGACAGGTCCACAGTCTCTTCCAAAACAGTTCCTCCACTTAATGCAATCTAGAGCTTTCTCCTTCAAATGAGAATATCCTCTTCTGTCCCCAAGGTCATCCAGCATCTTCTTACATCTTCTTCGTCTTCTGGTCACTTTTATCCGCCCCTCTCTTTCCTTCAATAACTTCTTTTAGGAGGCAGTTACTGCGTAACATATGATCAATCCAATTAGCCTTCCGTTTTCTTATTTTGTGTAGGATAGTCCTCTGCTCACTGACTCTAAATAACACTTCTTCATTTCTCACACAATCGGTCCAACTGATCTACATCCTTCTCCAACACCACCTTTCAAAGCTTTCCAGGTGTTTCTGATCTACTGCCCTAAGTGTCCAAGTTTCAGCCCCATAAAAAGCCATGCTCCAAATGTAGCATTTCATTAGTTTCTTTCTCAAATTTAAGTCCAATTTGCTGGTAAAAAGATATTTCTTCTTGCTAAATGCAGCTTTTGCCATGGCAATCCTAGATTTAATTTCACAAGTACACCTTCCATCATCTGTGAACAAGTTACCCAAATATTTAAAACATTTCACATTCTCCAGTTGTTTCTGGTCTATCTTTATTGTGACTGGGGTTCGTTGTCTCGAAATTTTCATTACTTTTGTTTTTTCCACATTCATTTCCATGCCATAGCACCTTCCAATTTCGATTAGTCTATCAATCATACCCTGTAGCAAAGTTTCTTCCTTAGCCATTAACACAAGGTCATCTGCATATTTCACAGTTTGAATAATTTGCCCTCCTAATTTGAAGTCTCCAAGCCCATCCAGAGCTTCCTTGGTAAGGCATTCGCTGTAAAAGTTGAACAAAACTGGTGATAACCTGCATCCTTCTTGAACTCCTCTTCCACATCAAGAGCTTAAATCCTAAAAAATCATCAGGATACGACCTCATCACTGGTATAATCCTTAAGGAGCTACCTCCTATTGGAATAAAATATTTCACCCAACTATTCAATGCAGCCTTATCCAAAGGATACTTCCCGGCCCAATGGAAAGTCGCACAGATCATTCTCATACCAAAGCCAGGTAAACCTCATAACGAGTTAACATCTTACTGGCCAATAAGCCTATTACCCATTGTATCTAAAGTATTTGAAAAGCTTCTCCTAAAAAGGATCTTGCCTATGGTTGGAAGATTAATACCAATCATCAGTTTGGCTTCAGGAAGAGACACTCCACAATACAACAGACACACCGAATTATACGGAAGATAAATGAAGCCATAGATAACAGACAATATGGTTCAGCAGCATTTTTAGATATCTCACAAGCATTTGACCAAGTATGGCACACAAGACTCCTATACAAGTTAAAACTGTCTCTCCCTAGGAACTACTTCACTATCCTACTTGCACAATAGACACTTTCTCGTACAAGTCGAAACAGAGCACACAGAACTATTCCCAATCAATGTGGGCATAACCCAAGGCAGCGTTCCTACTATACCTATTATATACTGCAGACCTCCCAACCACTTAAGAAACAATCACAGCAACCTTTGCTGATGACACTGCCATGGTAGCTACTGATAACGATCCAGTGGCTGCTTTGCAGAAACTGCAAACCAACCTATTAGCAATTCAAAACTGGATTAAAAAATGGAGTATGAAAGTAAATGAATCCAAATCAATCCACGTTACGTTCACCACAAGAAAAGAAATATGCCCACTGAACCGTGCAACGGTTCTTCTCCGTGAAGTTCCTTGGAGTCCCCCCCCGAAACGCCAGGATGCGAGCCGTTCCTCTTTTTCCACTTAAAGTCTTAGCTGACGTCAGGTCAGCTGACCTTGTTTCCCCCCCTCCTGGACGCGATGCGAGGTTTCCTGCTTACGCAGAATGAATGCATCGTCCTCTCTCTCCCGTAACTTCAGCAAGGTAACATCGCTGCTTCCAAATTCAGTTTCGTTTATGTTGAATTGAGCTTGTGAAATTCTGTTTCGGCCAGTGCAGTGTCTGAAGGGGGAAGAGTGCCCTCATGACGTGATCGAGGTTGCATCAAGTCGTGAGGTTAATCTTGTGTTTGTACTTTTAGAAACGCCAGTAAGTGACTTACTGTTGTACTTGGTTTCCTTTTCATCGCGATGCCGTGTGGCGTAAGTAAATTGATTTGCTTGGAGTTGAGTTGGCTTAAACAGCCGATCGCCCCTCAGGAGTGCAAGTAACCTGTGTATATTTTCCTGTGCCCTTAAGGCTTGCCGAAGTACAGGCTTGTGTGTCCTTAAGGTTTGCCGAAGTACAGGTTGTTTCCTAGAGAAGTTGAAAGATGCCATGAGGCGTGCCAATAGTTGAGTCTGTGCGGCTAGGCACAGAGTAATTCTGTATCAACTGTCTATTTTGTTTTGACCAGTCCCTGCCCATCAGGCAGAGTACACCTGTATACTCATGTTATCAATATATACATTTATTTATATGTTGGAAACGCCAGTTGTATTTGTGTATACTTGGGTTGTGTATTCCCTACCAGTTCGGACTAGCAGATCCGTCCAGCTTGGCCCATAGTGCCGACAGTGGTTTTCCTCTCCCGAGATCCCCTACTCGACCTTGGGGAGGCTTAGTGCATCACGTACAAGCAAGTCGTTCTTATGAGCCTGTCCCTTACCCATATTGAACAGGAGTTCACGGGTCTAACTGGGTAGGAGAACTGGGTTCTCGACCCACAGGGTCGAGGGACACGGCTCACCACCTGTACATATAACCAACGAACAACTCCCCCAAGAAGAAAACATCAAGTATCTCGGACTGCACCTTGACAGACGTCTTACTTGACACAAACACATCCTAGCAAAACGGAAACAGCTAGGAATTACTCTCACCAAAATGCGCTGGCTGCTCGGACGTAAATCAAAACTCTCTACAGGCAACAAACTCCTTATATATAAAACAATCCCCAAACCAATCTGGACCTATGGAATACAACTTTGGGGTACAGCTTCCAACTTAACATAGCAATTCTAGAATGATTTCAAGCTAAAGCCTTGCGCATGATAGTGGATGCACCTTGGTACGTACTGAACATAGTCGTCTGAAGAGATTTCCAAATACCAACAGTTAGAGAAGAAATTTGCTGATACAGCTCCCTATACAATACTCGGCTCAGAGCACATCCAAACAACCTAGCCGTCTGCCTTACGGAGCCACCGGACTTCAGGCGACTGCGAAGACATCTGCCAAATGATCTGCCCACCAGATTTCTATTGTAATAGTATGCTAATAATATTAGATTAAAGATCTAGATAGTAAGCACTCCCCCAAGTCACACGAGGCCTCAAGCCTACTCAATAAAGAAGAGTGCAAATGAGCATTCCTCTTGAAGTCGAAATACACCATAAAAATTTTCTGAATGTATTAGTACAGATTGCAAATAAAATGGGACTATATAACTTAAAAAAAAAAAGAAAGAGAGAGAGAGAGAACTTATATGCAACATGTTAATGGGTAAGAGGTGGACAGTTTCTAAAAAGATGTTAGGCATAAAGTGTGTGTGCTAGAGATGCACCAAAAAATTTCTCTCTAAGGTTAATAGCTTCAAAATATCCAGAATATCTGAAAATGTATTCATGCCATTAAATAATATCAACCATAACGTTAAATAATTTGAATGAAACATGTGGTAATACCAGTATAACAGTGAATTATGTTAAACTCTGGCATTCATAAATATCTGTCAAGGGTCTCAAAATACATAGCAAAATTTATTTAGACTGTTAAATACAGTAGTCCTAAAAATTACTTTGAAATAAATAAAAATCAAAATGGTTTACTGTAGGCATACCATTCCAAGATTCATCATATCAGTCATGTAGCCCCTACCAGCGTTTCTTGTGGAGAGAGACAATGGAACTAACAATATTTGCTGCTGCATAACTGGCACTCAGTCAAACAATCTGAAGCATGAAGTAAAAATTCAGCTGCTGCTAAGGGACTGGAGTACAAGGTTGTATATCTTGACTTTATGACTTACTGTGTTGTACAGCTCTTCAAGACGAGGTATGGACAGGAACTTCTTCATATGGACTCCATTCTCCAGTAATAATTTAACAAAGTCAATACGATCATGTTCAAGGGCCTGCATCATGGCCTCATCTAGAGCTCCTGCCACAGAAACAAAAAATCAATGACTCTGGAACATATCAGGAGTGATAAGTGGGATGTCATGCAAGAAACATGTACCTGGAGGCCATTCTTGTCCATACACAAATATTTCAGAGCGTGCAATATCCACTCGATTCCATGTGAGAGCCAGGCTCAACTGTTCAGATGGAGATAAGTGCTGGCTCTTAAACAGAGCTGTAAGGATTGTCTGATCAAGTTCCTGAGATGTCTCCTCTGGTCGGTCTGTGATACGGAACACTGTGATCTGAAATTGGAAACCATAAATTTAAGAAGACTGGTTGTGTTATGCATCTCACAGGTGAACATTTAATGTTTCTTAAGCTAAGCATCTAGATCTATAAAATGTTGGTAGTGTCAATGTATTAGTAATTGTACAGCAGAGGATAGTGCCAGTGACCTTGTGCCATATAAGAGCTCCCATCGCTGCTGATACTATAATTTGTGTAGCATTCTGTTTCTTAAGCACGCAGCACAGTGGATGTCATATTTTGGACCATCAACACATCAAATCATGTCAAAAAATACCACATTTGCTTGAACGTATGACAAAGTTCTTTTCCTATTTTAAGAACTACAAAACTAAGAAACATCATGAATATCAGTGATAAATGCTTTATATCAATACTTCTATATATTTTAAGGCACAACAGATCACTGTGGTCACGGTGCAAGGGCCAAGAAGGCCCACCCCTTATACATTCATACATTTTAAGGTTTTAGTGGACTGTTGTTAAAGTTTATGTTATATTGACCCATGAGTACAGCATTATAGAAGTGTGTGTGTGTGTGTGTGTGTATACAGGCATACACACATGATGCATAGATCCATATATTTTATATGTTGCTAGTTTTTGGTCTGCATGCCACCCCAAAAAACAAAAATTAGCAGCATATAAAAATTGGATACACAGATTTCTCACACTACACCTCAAAGAAAACACTAACAACAAAGAGTTAAATACTGCTATTAATATAGCACTAAATAATGATTATAGGAAGGAAGACATCCTACAATTACATATCACACTCACACAAAAGAAAAATAATCCAGAAAATAAAGCCAGTGTAGACCAAAAATGGGTCACATTTACCTATAGAGCAAATTATATATGGAAAATCACAAAACTCTTCAAAAACACCAACATAAAGATAGCCTTCAAAACAACTCATACAACAGGTAAACTAATAAATGAGAAACGAGAAACAAACCCCTATGAACGAAGTGGGATATATAAAATAACCTGCCAAAGCTGTCATAAGGTATACATCAGTCAAACTGGTAGAAATCTAACAACAGATACATAAGGAAAACATAAGAAATATACGACAAAACAAAGACCAATCGGCATTTGCCCAACATACACTAAATAAACGCCACCAGTACGGACCCATGAGAGTAATCATGGAAATGGTTGAAAATGCCAAAAAAATGAGTATCATGAATATAAAAGAAATCTTCCATATGTATCGCTTTAATGAACTCAATAAATTGATAGACGAATAAAAACATACAAGGGAAAATGAGAACCAGCATAACATGTTCGACATCAAAATACAACATCAATACACGCCCACATAAACGTCATAGACACAAGGAGTACAAATACGCAATTCAACACACCTTAGAACAGTATAACAAAACAGCATGCCACGTTAGAACAGTATAACAACACAGTGCTCCATGTTAGAACAGTATAACAACAGAGTGCGCCATGTTAGAACAGTATAACAACACAGTGCACCACATTAGAACAGTATAACAACACAGTGCGCCACCTTAGAACAGTATAACAACAGAGTGCGCCACCTTACAACAGTATAACAACAGAGTGTGCCACCTTAGAACAGTATTACAACACAGTGCGCCACATTAGAACAGTATTAACAACACAGCGTGCCATGTTAGAACAGTATAACAACAGAGTGCACCACATTAGAACAGTATTACAACGCAGTGCGCCACATTAGAACAGTATAACAACACAGCGTGCCATGTTAGAACAGTATAACAACACAGTGCACCACTTTAGAACAGTATAACAACACAGTGTGCCACATTAGAGCAGTATAACAACACAGTGTGCCACATTAGAACAGTATAACAACAGAGTGCACCACCTTAGAACAGTATTACAACACAGTGCGCCACATTAGAACAGTATAACAACACAGCGTGCCATGTTAGAACAGTATAACAACACAGTGCACCACTTTAGAACAGTATAACAACACAGTGTGCCACATTAGAGCAGTATAACAACACAGTGTGCCACATTAGAACAGTATAACAACACAGCGTGCCATGTTAGAACAGTATAACAACACAGTGCACCACTTTAGAACAGTATAACAACACAGCGCGTCACAAACACCTACAGGACAACATTAAAGGTTGGACAAAAATGACAAAAGCTCACATAAAAACAAAATAGAGTTTGCTGAAATATTACAATATGCCCATAATATAGTTGCAGAACCCTCTTTTCAAAAGCAACAGAACTAGAAGGCAGTACACGTTTGGCCTCCTCCAAGAGGAGAGAGGTGGGGGGGGGGAAAGAAAGAAAAGGCACAAACCAACTTGGTTTATGATTTCCAACAAATATTTTAACATATTAAGACAGTCACTGTAGTTGTTAAAACATAAGATTTTATACCCATTGTACTTTGTCAGCACTGTATACGTGTATATATATATATATCTTGGCGTTCAAACACACATTGTAATAGTGGCTTCCGATTGCATTGGTGTCCCTCTGAGGATGGTCTATAAAGACTGAAATATGAAAGGGATGAAGGATTGAAATTAGAAAAATCTTTACTAGTCATACTGGACCGAACTGTTTAACCTTTTATGATAAAATTAGGTGGCTGGGGTTTCAAGAAACGAACAGATCTTCCAATCTACCACTCTGTCTTGCTGTTCTGTCCTAATGCAGGAACAGTGTGATGCTTGTATTATAAATAATCTAATTTTGAATAGACATTTCAACAAACATTCCACTCATCTATTATAAGTTTTGTAGACTAGCGAAGAGCAATTCCTGTCTTTAAGAGTACTTACCAGGTTCTTTTTCAGAGTGCACTGCAGAAGTTCAGAATAAAGGCATTCAGCTTGTTCCCCACCCACTTCAAATGTCCGCTGGATGGTAGTGATCAAGTAATCCTTCATGCTTTCCAGGACAGTCTGTTCACCAGATTCAGAGGCATATCTGCAATACATCAAAACACAATTTCTGTCTCCGAGACCCATCACCAAAATCCAGATAAACAAAAAATTAGGCCCTGCTAATTCTTATATTCTTCTAACACTGAGATTCCAAAACTCTTCCCATCACACTGTGGAGAGTTAAGGAGGGTTCAAGGAGAGTGACAAGAGTAGTGCAGTGCAGTTTGCAAATAAGAGAAGTGAGTTGAAGACTTTGTGTGCTATAATTTCAGTAATCTTGAAAGCGTTACAAACATTTGTAGTTATTACTAGTAAAGATCTAATAAAGCAATTCACCAATCCAAACCAGAGTCTAGTCACTGTGACACGTGATAACTGGTGTTAGAAGTGGTACGAATTGGATCAGATTATTGGATTTATGATTGCATTGTACAGTTACTTTTTCTTTTGTGTATGGTAAGGGTTTGGTGAAATTCATCATTTCATCTGACAGTTGGATCTTTCCTCCTGAGACACATAACGGGTGGCTTGGGTCAAGCTTGAAGCCAGCTGCCCATCAGTAAATCAGTCAGTTAATGCATAACACAAGATCAGGTTCTTTAGAAATTCTAAACTTTGACAGGGGAAGTCATAATTTAGCAGTGTCATTCTATGCTACCCCAAATTCCAGTTTGACAGTCATGCAGCAGGTGGCTGAGTTCACCCTTAAACTCTGGCCACTTGGATATTTCTTTTTCTAATTGGAGGAAACAGATTAAGCAGCCTCCCAGCTTGCCTGGTCCAGCCAATCAAAATATGAAGTGGGACATCCTTTGCCTGAATTTTGGGTAACCAGAGCAGATGGCTACCCTTCAGAGTGGCCGGCTGCGGGACTCCGAAATTTACACTCATCGGGGATACACATGTTCCATACCTCTGATCCCTGTATATACTCTCTGTGGTTCCTCTTGAACTAGTGTGCCTTACTAACCAGCAAAGGAGCCTAAATCCACCAATCAGTTAAGTGGATCATTACGGTGCAGTTATCATTTGAATAAAGACTTCAATCTCCTAATTGGTGTTGAGTGTTGACCTTCCGACACCTGAGATCCCTCCTAATCACCCAAGTCACAGCTACAGGATAAAAGTGGCACCTCGATGTGATGGCCGATATTGCGACAAGGGTGACTAGAGGCAGTGAGGAGCCAGCAGAAACAAATCAGTGGTTAACTGCTAGCGCGAAAGCATGACAGAAGGACAGCAGAACTACCTACAACCACCACTGCAGCTCTCAGGAACAACACACTGAATGGGCAAAGAGGAAGTACGGAGGGAGCCGCGATCTAGCTTCCAGAGTGTGGAGGGCCGACCAACGCAACAACATTGAACACGCATCACCAAGGTTAGTCAAGTTAGTCGGAACACTTCGGAACCAGATTATAGAATTGGAGCGGGCTGATGGTGAGAACATGTCAGGGGTATTTTCTGCAGACCCATCATGTGACCAGGGCGATCGTGTTGAAATAGAGGGGTCAGCTGTAGCAGTAGGTCTGGATGAAATAGGAGGCCAGGTTAGGGACATGGGGGAAATCACCAACATGACCAGAGATCTGAGGACCACCCGAACATGATGGAAATGACGATACAAGCCAAAAGTGAAAATATTCAGTTGATCCTCCCGCTGTCCTGAGTTATTTCCAAGACTTATTCGCCAGCATGATTGCATCGATGAAGGATGGGAATGTAGAACTGGCCAGTAAGTTGGAGAATAGTAACAATAATGCAAACTGTCAATAACGGGGTTGCAGAAATCTTCTTCTTAGATGCGCCAGGAGGAACTGGTAAAACGTTCCTAATTAGACTAATTCTGGCAGCAATTCAATCCCAAAACGACATAGCCTTAGCTCTTGTGTCCTCCAGAATAGCTGCGACATTGCTACCAGGTGGAAGATCTGCTCATTCCGCTTTGAAATTGCCATTGAACATGCAATTCATTGAAACTCCCACGTGCAACATTTCCAAAGCATCAGACATGGGAAGGGTATTGCAGAAATGCAAACTTATTGTTTGGGATGAATGCACAATGGCGCACAAAAAATCGCTCGAGGCTCTTCATCGATCATTGCAAGATTTGCGTGGAAACATCAGACCATTTGGGAATGCATTAATATTGCTTGCAGGAGATTTCAGGCAAACATTACCTGTAATTCCTCGATCGACACCAGCGGATGAAATAAATACTTGCCTGAAATACTCTACTTTGTGGCGACACGTAAAGACGTTAAAATAAACTATAAATATGCATGTCCAGCTGCAAAACGATCGATCAGCTGAGATATTCTCACATCAATTGCTGGAAATTGGGAACAGAAAGGTGCAGGTTGATCTGACTTCAGGACGAATTTCATTGCCTCATAACTTCTGCAATTTAGTGACGTCAAAAGAAGAATTGGTTGAAAAAGTATTTCCCAATATTCAAACCAATTATAAGAATCATGATTGGCTGAGCGAACGAGCTATTCTTGCGGCCAAGAACAAAGACGTCTACGAACTTAACAATATCATTCAGCCTAACATTCAATGCGAGGCAGTCACATACAAGTCCGTCGACACTGTTGTGGAAGCAGATGAAACGGTTAATTATCCAAAAGAATTTTTGAATTCACTCGATCTGCCAGGGATGCCACCGCACGTACTGCAATTGAAAATAGGCGTGCCAATTATCATGTTGCGAAATATCAACCAGCCAAAGCTTTGCAACGGCACGCGGCTTGCAGTAAAAAAATTACTGAGCAACGTCGTAAAACAACAATCTTGACAGGACCTTTCAAAGGTGAAGATGTCCTCATTCCTCACATTCCTATGATTCCAACGGATGTGCCATTTCAATTTTAGAGATTGCAATTCCCAATTTGATTGGCGTTTGCATTTGCCAACAACAAAGCTCAGGGCCAATCTTTAGAACTGTGCAGTTTAGATCTAAACACGGGTTGCTTCTCACATGGACATTTATATGTTGCGTGTTCTAGAGTAGGCAAACCAGACAATCTCTATATCTGCACAGACAATGGAACAACAAAAAATATTGTATACCCACAAGCATTGTGAAATTAAACATATTAGAAACGTGCGCTTTCTCTTTTCTATCTTTTCCATTTAACCAGACTGAGCCACAGCAATGCATGGCCAGGTATAGCTAGTACAAAATAGTACTGAAATTCATCCAGCAGTACCAGAGATGAAACAAGAAGATGGAGAGACACAACTTCCTCTTTCAAATTCTTTGTGCATTTTGTGCATATAATGTGAAAAATTAAATGGCCTGATACTCTGATTCCTTTCATCACTCGCTCTGTCACCTGTCCTGATACCAAACACAGGAAGATTCAACCTGGCCATGCTTACTTGTGTGTGAAAGCCAAAAGGTCTGCTGCACGCCCTGATCCATCACACACCACTACTGGAACAGGAGGTGTGTCTGTCACATATTCTAGCACAGCTCTAATTGTGTTAGTGCCACCTTCTATCACGAGACACACCACTGGAGTACTACAGTGAGTACCTGCAACAAATGTCGGTTAGATTTACATCTCTCATATAAGAACAGAAAGAACCTGTTCAAAAAGTCAGGGCTCATAGAATCCAACACCACATATACTTTGTAATGTGCAGGGTCAGCCTTAACATGGGCACAGCATGGGCATTTTCACAAGTGGCACAAAATTAATTGAAAAATACTCCTGGTTTGTCACCCACCATAAAACTAAATTCCAGCTCAGTAATTGGTAAATTACAAACTGTTTTCATTATTAAGGGCACCATATTCCTTAGCAGGCCATTTTTAACTACAAAGAAAGCGGCCTCCGTAGTCTAGAGGTAACGTTCCCACCTCATGACTCGTAGTACACGGATTCAAATACCCGGTGGAGGTCGTCGAATTTTTAAGGGCGGAAAAATTCAGGGAACAAGTCCTCTGGGAGGGACTTTAAGCCGTGGGTCCCGTGTCGTAGCTTTATGGCACGTAAAAGAACCTCATATCTCCAAAGGAGGTCACTGAGCCAAATTACGGACATTTCCCGTCCAACAGCAGTCTCTAATACCTCTGGTAGATGGGGGAAGCATTATAGATACCTCTCAGCTAGTAGAGCCAGTCTCGCTGGCTGGGCGGGACTGATGGTAAGCACCAGTACCAGCAGGATATAGGGACTGGTAGAAATCATAGAGGGAAGCACAATGGACCAATACAGGTCTAAGTGCATGGGGAAACCCACCCTCTCCAATAACTAACTAACTAACTAACTAACTAACTACACAGAACAGTGGCAGAAAGCATGTGTGACCATGCTGGTATCCATTTCTGCTTCCATTTTGAATATTAATAAATGAAGGCAGTGAAACTAATACCTCATCCCATACATTTCAAGAGGTAACCAAACAATTGTTTTGATCATGGGAAAATATGACTATAAAATAATGTGCCACCATGAAGAATTGTACAGTAGTGGTTGAAGTGCGTATATGATGGTAGACACAACTGGCATTTGCATAGGATGGCAAGAAAGGTGGCATTGGTCCTGATTTCTAACATATTAAATCACTTAGGCACAATAATGGGGATTATCTAATGCAAGAGAATATAACCCTGGCTTCCAAATGTAAGATTCCTGACACAACAATTGTCACTGCGGGTGTTAGTTTGTTTGGTTTAGCTTATGGTATTATGTCAGTGCAAAACTGTTACCCTACAACCCTATAATCTGCTGAACTTTCCAGCTGCCATGCCAGTTACAGAACTGTCATTAGAAAGGAAAATCTTCACCTGGATGCAGTTTCTGAATGGATATGTACTTCTCCAGCTTTCTTCTCAAGATGAGCTCAGCTCCATATCTTCCTGAAGTTCCATTGTCAACCAGTAAGAAATAAGCATGGCGATTATTCAGAACTGCATATTTAGACCTAAAACAAATATGTAGGTAAATGAATGTGTGTGGAGAAATACTGTTCCTTACAGTACAATTGAGGCAGAAAAGTACATTAACAGGGTGAGGGGTGGGGGCAGTCTTCTTATATGTCTCTCACACTATGGGAAAGTAGAATATACACTTAACTCCGGGTTATCTGGTATCCATGGCATCCTCCTCCTTCAAGCAGGTGTGATTACAGTAGAGGCGAGGTGAATTTGTGGCTGTGTTACAGTATATGTAACTGAAATCATTTTACCAACAATATGCTGTCATCTAAGAAGGCTCCCACATAAATGCATTGTTTTGGCTTTCTACTGCATTTCTGTAACAGCTTTTCTCATGAAACATGCAGATTCATGTAAACCCATTCCTAAAACATGCCACATGATAGGGAGGCTACTGCTGCCTAAATTGTACTACTGCTACTTTAAAGAAAATACTTGCCTGGCAAGTCTATAAGGTATTAACATGATTCATTCATAGTGGTGTTATTTTCTCAGAGGCTGTAGTGATAAGACAGTGTCTAACGAGAAAAATATTCACCAATTGCATTTAACATTTTAGGTTAATCTAGAGACAATATTACTTCAGTCAGCGACAGCCACCTGCTTTTACTGTGTAGGACCTGAGGTTCTCACAGTGGTGGTAAAGAAGAGTTCTGTCTTCTGGGATATGTCATGTAGTCCAATGAAAGTCTGCAGACTTTTAGAGGAACATGTTAAAGATCATAAGACCAGTGCTAAACTTTACCCAATTTTACAAACAAAAAGAAAAACAAACTCTGTGGATTTTGGTCGGCAAGTGAACTATACCAACTGAGCAACTGCCACTTGTCGGCAAAGTTAGTGCCAACTTTAGCAGATAGAGGGTGTCATGTGGTCGGTGCAACAAATCCCCGTGGCTGTTAATTTTGGTTTTGTAGACCAGAGCCGCGATTTCCTTCAAATAGCTTCTCAATTATCCTCAAGAGGCTGAGCAGACCTCGTTCCAGACTCACTAATTCTCAGAAAATATGGTAGCACCGGGACTCGAACCCAGACCTCTGACCAATAGACCACAGAGGCGGTCACACAATTTTACATTTACTCAAATTAACTTTTTTTTAATTGTATTTTATTTTCCTGACAATGGAAATTAACCAGATTTTACATTTACAGTGTTCTAATTTGTAAAATTCAAAGAAACATCTGCACTGTTCCACTCATTCACAAAGTTTATCTCTGTAAAATAGGTATATATTTGCATATGATACGTTCTGAACCTCATGTGAACGAGCTCATCCAGTCACAGATACAAACACACCCTCATGCTTGCCATTATGTTGGGGTAGGTGCAGCTATTTATTTGACTACAAGGTTGGCTGCTGACAATATCTACACAAAACTGAGCATCTTATATAAACACAGCAAAACACTTAATTGGTATTTATGGCTTGAAATAAGACAACAAGGCCATCTGGAAAGTATGTATGACAAGCAATAAAATGGCATTATGGCACATGCTGATGCAAATACCGGAACATACTGTCAGTGTATGAGTGACCACAGATGGGGTTTCTATTGGTAATTGGATTTACTGAACTCTTAAAAAATGTAACTGCAACTACAACACTATCAATAATTCATACACACTACAATTCACTACAGCACGCATTAAATATTTCCAGTCTTCAGCAGTTGTTGTCTGTAATGGCTTCCAACATTACAGCTTACTCAGCTTTTGTGCTCATACCCTTACTGGTCAGTGAGTGTCTCCCAACTAACTAAACTGCAGACTTGTCCTGCTCAAAACACCTCAGCATGGATCATGTGGAAAACACCACTCCTCACTGTTGTATTTCCATTGTTGCTGTGGGAACATCTTTGTTTGCGAAGCTGTTACTTAGTAACAGCTACCATATATTTGCTTATTCAATGATCATTGCCCAGTAACAGGTCTATATGCCACAATACGTACATGGTGCTAACAAAGTTTCCAAAATTTGAATTTTTCGAGCGAATGGTTGAGTACATTGAAATACCGCTAGGTGTCTCCCCACACATACTTCTTGAATCAGTGTGGCAAGCGGCGTCGAGTTGAGTGGTTGGGTTTACTGTTGGTGAACGTATTTCCATTGTTGTGTTTCTGTGAGTTTGTGGTTTTGCAATGGCTGACCTGAGAGAGCAGCGTGTCTGTATATTTGTTTTAAACTTGGGAAAACTGCTGCAGAAACACACCAAATGTTGAAGCAAGCTTCTGGTGACAACAGTTTAGGCCAGACACAAACTTCCGACTGGTATAAGCGTTTAAAAAATGGCCAAACATCGACTGATGACGACGATCGTTCGGGATGGCCCTCAACTGGCACCACACCAGAAATTGTTGCGAAAGTTAGGGATCTGATTCTGCAAGATCGTAGATTGACCATCCATGGGACTAAGTTATGATACTTGTACATGTCAACGAATTTTTTTCAGAGGAACTGAACATGAGGAGGATTGCAGTGAAGTTTATGCCACGGCTTCTGCAAATTGAACAGAAGCAGCATCACTTGGAAGTCTGGAGGGAACTTCAACAACAGCTTCAAGAGGATCCAAACTTTCTTTCGAAGGTTGTCACTGGTGACAAAACTTGGGTTTATGGCTACGACCCTGAAAGTATGCAGCAATCATCGCAAAGGAAGGGCCCTTCTTCACCTCGGCCATAAAAAGCTCGACAAATCAAGAGCAACATTAAGTCCATGTTGATCGTTTTTTTGTTACTGACGGGATTGTTCATAAGAAGTTCATCACTCCTGGTCAGACAGTCAATAAAGAGTTCTATCGCGATGTTCTAAGGCATTTGATGGAGGACATGAGGAGAAAACGTCCAGAGAAGTGGCACACAAACGACGGTACTCCACCATGACAATGCAGACCGCATACAGCTTATATTGTGGAGGAATTTTTGGCTAAAAACAAATGGCAGTTGTTCCCCACCCACCGTAGTCGCCAGACTTAGCTCCATGCATCCTCTTTCTCTTCCCCAGGATGAAAATCAAGTTGAGGGGTGAAGATTTGATACAATTGAGGAAATTCAAGTGGAAACACAGACGGTACTAAACACTCTAATAAAGAAAGACTTCCAGGGTGCATTTTAAAAGTGGCAGAAATGCTGGGATCAGTGTATGCACTCTCAAGGGGACTACTTTGAAGGTGGTGGTGCAGAATAAGATACAGGTAAGACGTAATAGTTTNCCCATATTATAAGGTAAGGTTATAAAACCACAATTTAAGATCATTTTAGTGAAAGTTTCATGTTCCTATCTCATAGAATTTAAGAAAAATGATGAATAAATAATTTTCGAGCAAAATTTAAATGGCCGGCTGAATATATTACCGCAGGAGCCGCGGCCGTGGAATTTAAATGACCACGTCAAAGGGTTAATACATTTCGGGAACTTTTGGATAGCACCATGTATATGGTATGTGTAAATTGTTACTGTGTTCAAACATGCATAGTTTAAAGGGATTGGCAAATTTATGGTATAAAGCAGACTTTTTTTTTGTTACAACATTTTTATTCCACCAACTTTACACTTTTTTCATTTTGCAACGATTTTAGTTGGTCCCTTCAAAAGTGTATCAACAAGGTTTCACTGTGTACTGACAGTACAGATAAGTCTGCATTATTGGTCAAGCTAATATAGCAGAAATGGTTTAAAAACAGCAAAAATTTAAATGGGACAGCCTGTCAAGGGAAACAAATTGCAACATTATCTGTACTAATAATTTCGTGCCACTCTGTCTACCAGGAGTCATGCAGAGGCTGCTCTGGGGGTTGAATATGGGGCTCCCTGGTGAAGAGCTGGAAATGAATTGAGCTACTGCAGTGTTACCAAGGACCTTAATGTTCATAGTAGCAACAAGATTTCTGTCAGGTTTTTCCCTAAAAAGAGCATTTGGAAGAATATACAGAAGACTACAAGGACCATAAGCAGTATGCTTCTGGTTAGTACCTGGGTGAAGATATGGAATGATATGGAACATCACGGTTATGTCCACAAAGCTCGTGGTTGTTCTCAACAATGCCCCAAGGAGCTATGCCAATGCTAACCACTCGTCCACTACGTTGGGAGCGTTCCAGCAGCAGTGCATCACCAACCTGTCTTGTCACACCTGCCAACATTTACAAGTTATATATAGTGCTCAGGAAAACAGAGAAGCAACAGAACATGATGCTCTAACTATAAAGGCACAGGTCTACTGAATTATTCTTATAAAATATATCATAAGATATTATCAAAAAATAGCATTAAAATAGCAAAAAGTGCTTTAAAATAAGTGCAAAAATGTCTTTAGGAGAAGATGCTCTTGCCTAGACTGTTTTTTTTTACAATAATCCAATGTAGTGGCAAGAAGGGAAAAAATTACACTTCCTAGGTATAATGCTGTCAGGAATCACACAACAGCTTCCAGTAGAGTAAACACAAATTAATTATGGCAGATTCTTGCTCTGAAAAGACTTCTTCTACATTCCGTTCAAGCAATCCAGAGCTTCTACAATGAAAAAAATATTATGATTGAGAATGAAGGCAAAATAAGTCAGAAAAGAATTTTAATAAACCAAGGGGTGTGACAAAGCTACTCACTGTCACCAGTGTTATTTAATCCATATTTAGACCACATCATAAAAGAATGGCAAGACAGCAAACCTCCACTAACTAATATCTTGACAACATATCTTTCTGCTGACAATCAAGTGATTATAAGCACTTTAAAGATTCTTAAAAAAAAATTCTGCTCTTAAAGGGAAAGAATTAATAGCGATGAAATAAAAAATGCTAAACAATACCATGATGGAACAAGTAACAAACTTTAATTATCTTTGATCTCAGTTGGGCAGCAACAGAAATTATGATCTACAAAACAAACTACAATGACAGAATTATCTGTGTCAAACAACTAAACAAACGCTGCTCAACAAAACACAATGCAAGACAATTCTAAAATTCTATATCATTCTAGCAGTACCATCTCTCTTATACAGCAGTGAGTGCCGGGCTTTAACTAAACAACAGTTCCAGCAGACTGAATCCTCTGAAATGAGATTCCTGAAATAAANCGGGGAAAAAAAAAAAAAAAAAAAAAAAAAAAAAAAAAAAAAAAAGATGCAGAGATATCAGGCAAAAATAAATGTAGATAGGGTGAATAAAAAGTAGTGGCAACACCTCTATAGTTCTAAAATGACATTATTACCTGAGGTAAACACACTTACATCCTTTCAATATATTTGCCCCCCCTGTGTACCACCTTCTGCCAAATTTATGGAAGGCGTTGTACACCATAAGCACATCCACTTCTGTTGATGTCCAGCAGTGACCGCGCTACAGCATGAATAATCTCCTCTCTTGTGTTGTAATATAACCCTCGCAGTGGTTCTTTCATTTTTGCAAAGATATCATAGTCGCACAGACTCATATTGGGTGAGTATGGCGGATGTTGCAGTATCTCCCATCGCCATTCCCTCTGGTACCGGTCCAAGAAGTCCTGTGCAGTTGCATAACGTTGCCATTGTTGCACATTGGACATTGTATGGGGTACCCAATGCGCTGCAATTTTGCGGTATCCAAGAATATTGTGCAGAAGGTGGAGCATGGTTTTGTGACATATGCCTACATCAGCAGCTAACTCCCACACAGCCCATTGATGATCGACATCCAGCAAAGAAACAAGAAGCTGAATTGGGTGGTTGTCAACATGGGGTCATCCTGAACGATGGCTGTCCTGAATGGCATCCCTCCCTTCACAGAACAATTTCACTCATCGTGCCACTGTGCGATATGGCAAAGCAGCATCACCACATGCTTCTCGCAGTCCCTGATAACAGTTTTGTGCACTACGATGTTGTGCAACTTCAATTTTTATCCAGGAACGTTGTTCTTGTTTTGTAAACATGTTGTTAGGGTGCTTGAACTGGGCTCCTGCACTTCAAGACGATGCACAATGCAACTCAATGAAACACAACCAGAGCCACTCACTGCACTACTTCAACTGAACTTCTGCTATCAGCTACAGATGTTGCTACTGCCACCTGACGCACATCTTTCATGTTACAGCAGTGTTGCCACTACTTTTTATCCAACCCTTGTATTTAACTTAGGAGGAAAATTAAAAGAATACCAACAGAGTTATTTTGAACATATTTCAAGACAGCCAACTAATCAAATTCCTCAGAAGCTTTCTGACTACCAACCTAAAGGAAGACGAAAGATAGGTCAGCCATCAAACAGGTGTAAGGATCAATTCACTTAACCTGAAGATAAGAACAGAAAGGCCTAAACACTGGACATTATAATTAATGACTAATGATGAGATGATGATGATGAGGAGGAGGAGGACGCAGTGGAGAATGTCTGGGACAAGCATTTTAAGATTCATACAGTCCACTTGGTCAGGGCAGTCAAGTCACTGGGCTGAGCTTTAACTCAAATGGAGAAAAGAATACATGCATACAGTATGTTGATATAAAAGTGGTCACTTCAAGGAGGAGAGACAGAAGGATGTTATTAAGAATTTATTTTCAGGACTGAGGAACTGAGGATAGGTCCAATGGCAGACATGACTGCAGTGCTGTAAGCCAGGCAGCCTATCAATCCTTATGCTTGCTGATGATTGCAATTACAAAAAGCATACCATTAAAATGTTTACCCATTGTTTTCTAGTGTCTCATACAAAGAGAACAAGGTAGGTAGATATATGATGTCTGATGCTGGTGCTGTGGAGAATACCTGGATCTGCGAGACAGTGGAAATAAAAAGAGACTAGTAAGAACTGCACAATGGGTTTCACACTTTGTGTTCTTCATGAAATATCATTAAAGCAATGGACAGAGTTCAAGATAACACGGTATAAAAATCAACAATTGTCACAAATCTCCAGAGAATTACTAATAGGGTGATTACAGTAATAAGAATGAAATGGGAAGATGATAAATACATGCATAATGTTGGCTGGAAAAACCTCAGAGAATGAGTTTAGATAGGAGACCAATGTGAAGGTTGCAACATACTACAGAAACGAGTCTTGAAGAAATAAGGCACGAGGAAGCAAGGTGGATTCAACTTGTTGAGGAGAGGGTCACAGAGTAATGAACTTACAGGTTCGATAAAGCTGTGAATGTCTCGACTATCTGGGAAACTACAAATTTCTCAAAGGACACTGACCGTGGAGTTAGTTTCAATGTTATAGCACACACCTGTATTTGTGCCACCAGTGAATATCCACGCTCCAGTGGTTTTTGCAGCCTTCAGCAGGCCCTTGCGCAGAACTTTCTTAAGCTTGGGCTGCAGATCAAAGTTGGCTTTCCCACCCTGTACTGTGATAAGTAGTTTTGGCAACTCCAAGTTCCACTCCCTGGTGAACAGCTGCAAAATGAGTTCTGGTCTGGTATCATAGGCCAGCCGCACATACTGTAACAAAGGCAATCAATGACTGACTTACTTCGCTCTTTACCTCTGTGTTCAAACCAGCTGTGACCCCTCACCTAAACCAGCCCACAGGTTCTTTCATTGGGGAGAATGCCAGAAGTGGAAAGATGCCCACTCACCTCTACCTACAGAGGGGATCTGTATTCATGGCATGGTACTAAGACACAGGGACAACTTTACTACTACAATAGCAGAAGCAGTATTGAATTCCACTGTCAAGTGGGTAGCACTTCAGCTTTGTATTCAGGTCCTGAGCTTCAAATCTCAGTCTGGTAATTGGCCATTATGACAGAGAATTTCCATAGTTTTCTTGAGCCCCTCCTAGGAAATGCTGGAACAGTACCAAAAATTAGGCCACAGCTATTTCTGTTCATACTGTAACATGCAGGGGAGTACATACGACTAATAATTGTGGATTCTAGATTGGACGATTAGGTTTATTTGGCATCAGTATCACAATTACACTCAAATATAAGAGTTTACACATTTGCTGTGTTCTCACTTCACTTCTGAACTCTTGACTTAATTTCTGAACTCTGACTTCACTTCTGAGCTCTGCCTTAACTCCTGAACTCTTGACTTCTATTCAAGAATGCACCCTGTTTTATATCTGTTAGGTGGTCATAACAGCAGACCTCAGCTCAAAGAGTTCTGTATTTCTGTCTGCCTAAGCACTCATTACCATGGAAACCCCTCCAGCTCTGCAGTAACCTATATGCCTTGTAGAGTGTTTTTACAGAAGTGCATGTATAATAATACCATAGTAACCCATTGTCATGGAAAAGTGCTCCGTTAATACTCGTTGCCTAGGAAATCAACTTCCAATCTGACTCCACTATTCCTGCTTTCAGGCATCATGTCACATTATCCTTTCCTGTTCATCATTCACTAATCATCCTACCATTCAAAGCTACACTGTCTTCATTACTGGCAGATATATTAAGAATTAAGAAGGAAATCATCACGGTGCAGTGGTTAGCATTCCTGTTTCATACTTCAGGGGTCTGGGGTTCGAACTGGAGGTTAGACATCTTGATTGAGGATTCCTGTGATTTTCCTCAGTAACCCTGGAAAATTCTGGGATAGTCAGTGACTGCATCCTACTCACCACTTATGTTCAGTCAATCCTACACATATTTTAGGGGCTAAATGGGAGAACTGATTAAATAGACCTAAATGAACACATATGAAAAATATTCTATATAATATATTCTAATACACTGTATGTATGTATGTATGTATGTATGTACAGAGGTACGTACATGTATATATAGCTCTCTCCCTCTCTCTCTGTGCGCGTGTGCGTGTGTGTAGGGGATGACCAAGTATATATGACAATTCACATAAATTGTTATATAGTATAATATAATATAGTATAGTATAATGCTTATAATATTTTGATGTAAAAACAATTTTTCAGATGTATATGACAAACAAAAACTGCAAACAAATTTTTAAAATTGATATGTGAAATACTCTGTTCTTGAAACAAATTTTGTGAGTGGTTCTGACCTGAAAATGATATATGAAACATGTCATGACTGGTAACAAGATGGGCTACACTCATATCTGTGCTGCTCTCACCTGTGCCTTGCTTGGGTGTGGTCCACCCTGAAACTCAATGGTACCATAAGCATCAGTAGGTGATGGCTGTGTGTGTCTGGATGGTGTCCACTGTTGCTGTTCTGCTGCCTTATAACTGTCAACATCAAGGCCAGTACCACGATGGAAAGTGAATGACAGCCCACAGTAACATCTGTAAAAACATGCACCCCAATGAAGTACACATGTTTGTGATTTTGTTTCATTTCATTTCATTTATTCACCTTCCATAAATCCTGTCAAGAATACATTCTCATGCAGATGTGGAGATCGTCCTAGTTACAGTCACAACTAAGAATTGAAGTTGTCATCCAACAGCATGCACATTTATAATAAAATACTGATAACCATATACAATATAATAAATAAGTTCATTTTAGTAGTAAAAGTAATGGCAAATCTTATAAAATTTGTACCGTCTTATACAAGTCGATTAATTAAAAATTCAATAGTTAAAACACAATGTCATTAAAGAGTTTTGTATAACATACATTAATAGTACAATAAATTGAAATAAAGACTAGTATACAGTGATATAAAGATTGTGTATATCTAAAATAAGCAATTAAAAACCAGAACACAGACTGAGAACCTTGTCTTCTTTTAATTGTAAAGCAAGACAGCTACTCACATCTTAAAAAGATTTATAATCAAAATATTCCTGTAAAGAAAAAAAGATAATGCAAATATAAAAAATGTTTTAATTGTACCTCAAAACTCTTAGTGTTATTCGATATATCCTTAATATATTGTGGTAGATTATTATAGACTTTTGTTCCTAAACAGTAAACTCCCTTTTGGTATTTACTCAAATTTACATGTGGCTGATGAAGATTATTTCGCTGTCTGGTATTTATTCTATGAATCTCTTAATTTACTATGAATTTGTTTCTGTTTTTTATCACAAAGAGCATAAGAGATAGTATGTACTGAGATGCCAGAGGTAAGATTTCTAATTCTCTAAATAAGTTCCTGCACTAATCCCTCCTTCTGCGTCCCAACATAACTCTAATCATATTCTTCTGCATTCTAAAAATTTTTATACTTTGGGGTGAGTTCCCCAAAAAGGGTAAACCATCATTTATAAAAGAATTAAAATAAGAGTGATAAACCATTTTTAAGGTATTTATGGATGTGTACGGTTTAAGCAATCTTATTATGTAGCAGACTGCACTTAGTTTTGAACTAATATACTCAGTGTGGTACTTCTAGCTCATTGTGTCATCAATGAATATTCCAAGAAATTTAATATTGGATATAGACGTAATTTGTTTTTTATCATATACAATTTTTATTTCAGATTTAAAATTATTATTGCTAGCTGTAAACTGAATATACAGTGGAACCTCGCTTAACGATCACCTCTCATAACGAGTAATTCGCATAACGAGCAAAACAAATTGTAAAAAAAATGACTCGCATAACGAGTGACGAGAGGGGAAGTCCCGGATTGTGCGCTTGCTACATCAGTCTGTGTTTAGCACTCGTTCCGCTAGCATCTTAGTGTCGCTTGTGATCACACATTTTTCCAAACTTGTGTTCAGACATATTATTTGTGATTTTTTTGTGTGCAAAGTTTAATAACCCTTGCAAAATGTTCCCGAAGAAAAAGCCGCAAAAAGACAGCCATAAGAGAATAAAAATAACCGTAGAAAAGAAACGTAAAATCATTGAAAAGCGAGAACGAGGTGTGAGCGTGGCTGATCTAGCACGCACATACAGTCGGTCTACATCAACAATTTGCACTATCCTCAAGAACAAGGACAAGATTAAGGAGATAGATGCTTCAAAGGGAGTGACAAGAATATCTACGCAACGGTTACGTATTCTCAATGTTGAGAGGTTGCTCCTCATATGGATAAACGAAAAGCAATTGCAAGGCGACACTATTAACGAGAACATCATTTGTGAGAAGGCGAAAGTGATTTTCGCCGACCTCGTTAAGAAGACGCCAGGATCATCAACGGCCGAAGAAGCATTTAAGGGAAGCTGTGGGTGGTTCTTCGAGAAGTTTAAGAGAAGAACCGGCATCCACAGGGTTGTAAGGCGCGGTGAAGCAGCAAGCTCCGCCACAAAGGCAGCACAGAACTTCATCGGCGACTTCAAGAAGCTCTTAGATTCTGAGAGTTACCTGCCGCAACAGGTTTTTAATTGTGACGAGGTCTCTTCTGGAAAAAGATGCCGAAGCGAACCTATATAACAGCAGAGGATAATGCATTGCCCGGCCATAAGCCAATGAAAGACCGTCTCACGCTATTTTGTGCCAATGCAAGCGGCGATTTGAAAATTAAACTGCTGCTTGTTTACCATTCAGAAACTCTACGAGCCTTCAAGAAGTGTAAAGTCCAGAAGAGCAGGCTAAATGTGATGTGGAGGTCCAACAACAAGGCTTGGGTTACACGTGACCTTTTTAGTGATCGGATCAATGAAATTTTCGGTCCTTCTGTGAAAAAATATTTGCTCGAGATGAATCTGCCACTAAATGTCTTGCTTCTTATGAACAACGCTCCTGCCCATCCTCCAGACCTACATGATGACCTCCTTGAAGAATTTAAATTCATCAATATCCAGTTTCTGCCTCCTAACACCACTCCGTTACTCCAGCCTATGGACCAGCAGCTTATTTCTAACTTTAAGAAACTGTACACTAAAGCACTCTTCGAGCGTTGTTTTGAGGTGACTGAAGGGACCAATCTCACTCTCAGAGAGTTTTGGAAATATCACTTCCACATCGTTGCCTGCTTCAAGATGATCGAAAAGGCGTGGGAAGGGGTTACCAAGAGAACCCTCACTTCTGCTTGGAAGAAGCTTTGGCCGGAGAGCGTTGTCGAATGTGACTTTGAGGGGTTTGAGATAGTACCTGTGGAGCCTGTAGTCAACGAGATTGTGTCTTTGGCCAAGATCATGGGGCTGGAGGTGGATAACAATGATATCGATGAGCTTGTGGAAGAGCACAGCCAAGGGCTGACCACCGAAGAGCTTATGGAGTTGCATTGTGTTTCACAGCAAGAAGTTGTGTAGGAGAGTTTGTCAGAGGAGGAGGACGAGGAGGTAACAGCAAAGCAACAATCTTCTGGCACAATAAGAGAAATGCTGAAAGCATGGGAAACTGTTGCATCATACACTGAGAAGCATCGCCCTAATAAGGCAGTGGCTATGAGCGCTACAGATTTATTTAATGATAATGCTGTGTCGCATTTTCACCGAATTCTGAAGCGTCGGTAAAAACAAATGTCTCTAGACAGCTTTCTAGTAAAAAAAAGAATTAGATATGTATCATAAATAATAAACTAATTATTTCGATTTTTGTTTTTTTTGTTTTCTGCAAATCGAATTCGCATTCCAGGTTGGTTCATTCCGCATAGAAGAACTGATGAAGATGATTCGCGCTCCTTACCAATGTATATATAATTTTCTTTGAATAAACGTTATACTTAAAATTTTTGGGGTATTTTTTCGGCATGGAACGCATTATCGTATTTTACATTAATTTATATGGGAAAAATTGTTTCGTTTAACGAGTGTTTCGCATTACGAGTAAGATTCTGGAACGAATTATGCTCGTTAAGCGAGGTTCCACTGCAGTGGGTTTTGTTAAAATTTATAGAAAGTTGGTTTACTTTGAACCATTCATTTATACTATGAAAAGCACTGTTTATATTTACACAGAGATCATCAAAGTTTGAACTTTTAACTAACAAACCAGTATCGTCTGCAAATAATATGGGTACAGTTTTATCATTTATAATTTCGAGTAAATCGTTTATATAAATGAGAAATAACACTGGACCCAGAATCGAACCTTGAGGGACACGTCTAATTTTGCCCCATGTCGAAAATTCATTGAGATTAAGATTTATATTTGTAATTAAAACCATTTTTGTATTAGTAATGATCATTTAAAATGATTGGAGAAACTTGGTTCTCAGCATTAACGTCGAAAAAGTTATATTAAATCGTGATTTGCATTGGAATAGATGCACGTTGTACACCAAAAGTGAAGCTTTATTGAAACGTATAGAATTTTATTTATTGAAATTACCCAAAGCGTTTATTTTGTGAGTGAGTGAGTTGAGGAGCTTTGTGACTGGTTGTGCTCGGGATAGGTATATGTCAGCTGAAGTACGGAACGTAGTTTATGCAGGATAAAGTGTTCACATTTCGTCCACAGACCATGTCGATGCAAGAAATAGTTGCCATCACAAATGGAGCAACCTTCACGTTGGTCTTAAAGGTTCTGGCTTGCCCCAGATATAAGCTCGGAAACGATAGCTCTTCGGCATGCTCATCGTATGCAATGCTAAGAGGTTTGCTGTCCTGACCTGGATATATTTCAAGTATTCGTCTTCGTTCCACAAGAGCGTGTGTTGTTGGACAAGAAGCATTTAATGTTGGTTGAGTTCATCTAATTCATAAGTATCTTTGACCACGTTATCAACATTTAAAAATGTTGGATCTATTTCAGTGTTGTAGCGTTTGTACAGGGGGGTCTGTATCAAATGCTCCAACCATCGTTTAACTGTTGCCTTTTTAATGCATCCCTGCAAGTACGTACTCTTGTGAATTAAATGTCACTTCAAATAGACGTTAAAGCTATAATCGCCGTCCATTTGCCTTGGAAGTGTCATTGCCATATTATTCACATATACCGGTACACCGATGACTTGCCATACAATGATATATCCTCCCATCTGATCTCTCAGTCTTCTGATTTGCATAAATAGAAGTCTTGGGGTCACAAGCCTTTCACTTATACAGTCCCGTGGAGAGGAATGCGTTTTATATCGAGGATACGTAAAGCCGCTCCTGCCTGATAAGACTAGGTACCTGATCTCTATACAGAGTTGCTGTACACGTTACACATGCCTTAAACTGAGCAACATCCATGTCTGAAAACTCTGGATCTATTGCACTGATGTGTTTTCCTTTTACTTCTTTTAAATCATTCATATGTCATAATCTTTCACACATGTGGCAGGCAGAGCAAATGGATTACCATTACAATTATTTACAAAGTATTCACTGGTTCGATTATAATTGAATATAACTGGAGTTGGCGTCGGGTCAGTTGACGTCAATGCTTGTGGTTTCATTTCCTTGAGCTTTGCGTTATCTGTAATTACGCATGTATTCATCGAATAGGCTTTTATGTGT